ATGCTCACAACTTTACTTATGTTGAGAATCCAAACTGTAAATGTGGAGCCCCCCAGACAGAAAAACACTTCTTCTTTCAGTGTCCCCTTATTAAAGAAAAGATAACAAAATTAAAAACTGATATTATTAATATAACTGGACTATCAGATAATCATTAAATCAGAATGATCTCCTTTACTTAATGAAACATGGCTCTGACAATATTTCCCTTGATCTAAATTCACATCTCCAAACCTCAATCGCTGAATTCATTGAAATGAACCTATAACGTTTTCCCCTCCCTATATACTTATATACTATACTTTATTTTATATTATCCACACTTAATATTTCCACCCCATGGCCAACCACAAGTGCAGAGTGAACCCCTTGACCTAATCATAATTTTGTATTTTGTGCTATTAATGTACCCTTCTATAATGCCTTCGGGCGACTGAAGGGATTTATATTATGATATTTTTTTATGAAGCAATAAATATTTCTTAATAAAAAAAAAAAAAATTTATTCAGTCCGTACTTAACGTTTACTTCCGTTTTAAATTCGCGGCAAGAAATCAAAAACTGAAAGGTTTTTTGGTAAAAAATGCTTTTAAAATAAAGTTATACCTCAAAACAGGCTAAAAATAGGGGACACACTTTTTTTTCAAAGGACACACTTTTTAAAGAAAATTGCGTCCTTGGGACTCACAAATTTTCTAACCTAATGCAAGCGCTGCATTTCTAGAAAACCTATAGAAAACCTAAAGTAAGAATATAGAATACCCATTTCTAGAAAACCCATAGTAAGAATGTAGAATACCCATTTCTAGAAAACCCATGGCAAGCAAAACCTATAGAAAACCTATAGTTAGAATGTAGAATACCCATATTTCTAGAACGCCCATATTAAGAATGTGGAATCAATTGTGGCATTCAGATAACAGACACTACTTCATTATATCTGCCGAAGCACATACAAAATACAATGATAACTATCATTTGGAAATTATTTCAATAAAGATCAAATTATTTCAAATTGGAATGATTTGTTGATATCATATCATAACATTTCTGTTGCACTGCTATGCTGGTAAAGTCTAATTATATGCCTATCTCACATGTCCTTATATTTTGAACCATTGGCTACTTGGTATATATCATATATATATTTTTTTGGGGGGGGTTCTGGGTGGTCATGGTAATTGTTAAGTGTCTCTTTGCCTAATTAAGCAAACTATCCAACCGAGGGAATTCCCAGAATTCCCAGAATTTCAGGCTATTTTACATTTAGTATAACATATACAGAATCAACTTAAATAGCCATATTTAAAGTACATTTGCGGTAACGTTTTTGTTTTGTTGAGTGAATCCATTGGTGAATTATTGATCTCTCATCCCTTATTGCAAACTACCATTCTCTCTTCAGGAATATGTATAGATTAGCGTTCTGTCTGTGTTAAAGCAATGTAATATGTTAGTGTTATATAGGTGCCTAATAGCATATGATGTAAATGTCCCATATTATTTCATCCATATAGCTAACTATATACAATTGTTGACCTCTCCAGAGGTCAACCGGCAAAATTGTATATACCGAGACTGTAAACCGAGAAACTACTGTTGACAGAGACCGAAGGTCGAGGTCAACAGTAGTTTCAAGGTTTACAGTCGAGGTATATGATTTTGACGGTTGACCGAATGGAGAGGTCTACAATTGTTTTGTTAGTCAGAAGAAACTAATAATACACATATAGACGACAGTCATCAATCATGGCTTAATTTCACAATCTTTTCTCCGAACCACGCCAGCAATAATTTTGTAAGAAAATCTGAAGACAGCGGTAGCTCTAAAACTCCCTGTTTTTCTGTAAATATTATGACGTCATATTTCCCATAATTCACAAGTGTAGTACAGTAACATACGCGGTCAATAATATGATATCCCATGATGCACAGGTGGGGTACAGGCAAAAATGTTGACCGCTAATTGACCAATCAGATGCGAGTATTTACACTGAGGTACTAACAAATAAAATTGTAGACAGATGTATATAATAATATACTAATATTAATATCTATAAAGGCATTGATTTTGAAAAATTGAGAAATTGCTACATTGGTTATTTTGCCCTTGCATGAAGTTAATTAAATTATCTTATAAATAATTAGTCTATTGAGATGCTGTATAATAGATCTGACCTTCAGACCTTCTCTTTATAAACTACAAGGGATTGAACATAAAGTTCTTAGGCTGTAAATATGTATGATATTAGGGTTCATGCCTAGGTTAAAAGCATGATTGTCACTATTAAACATATTGACATTCAGTCCATTGTCAAAAAGGCAACCAGTTTTTCTAATTCCATTGCAAAGAGCGAAATACCCTTTGTATTCAACTTCGCTTCTTAAAAGAGAGCTTCATCAAATTGTCTTCACTCTTTCACTTTACAATAAATCTCTGAACTCACGGATCCAAGCAGAGTTCATTGTTGAAATATGGACAACTTTCTATGTGGTCATTTCCTCTGATGTCAATGCATAGTTATTGAGCACCTAGTTAGCGTGTGTTCCTTCTAGTTCGCTGATTGGTAGAGAAAAAGACAGCGCAGTAGGTCTGAAATGATTGATGACCCAGGCTGTCACAGGCACCAGTCTTTGGGGGCTGCTAAACTGTAATATTATAAGTCTATAAACTAGAGCCTGTTTGATGGTTAGAAAAATGTATGACTCAAGATCTGCTGATTTTAACCAGAATGTAAGTGGGAGGGGGTCAAGTCCACATGATATGTCAGATGTACAGAATATTAAATAATGAGTATGACCCTTATACTGAAAAAAACCCATATGAAACCACAAAAGTTCTATCCAGTATGTGCAACTAGAAATGCTTGAAAATAGGATTAACTATAAGCTATTTTTCCCAGCTCTGTGATGATATGTCATCTTTAACTCAACTAATTCCAATAATTATGTAACTTGGTATTGATTGGAGAGCTTAGAGAACAATACAAAATAATTGCCTCAGAAAGCCCTGTCACTAAATTTTGCACAATGGTCATTGGTATATCTCTCAAAACTCACTAACCATATTCTCTGTAATTAGCGCCCACACCACTTCACAAATTCAAGAAATATCGAGGAATGACCAACTATTCACGAATATATCCTTATTTCCTTATACAGAAAAGTTTGTATATCGGAACATATATTTATTCTAAACACCTCTCAATATGAATTCACTTTTTCTTGGTCATAATTTTATTATGTCCCATTGACTTGCATGTTAAATAACCTTGAATGTGAACAATCTTTTCTTATTACTTTTGGTCAATCTTTTGGTGTTTGAATTAGACATGTTTTACTGTAGTTTGGAAGTACATGTATTACTATAGTATATCAAGGAGGAAATAGAACCACTTTCATTCAATTTTAGTGTCATAACTTATATTTCCCATAAAATTGAATTGTTTTCTCTGCAATTATCATTAAATTCAGGATTTGGTGACATCATAGTGGAACAGCAGGCATATGAAATATCCGTCTCCTCACGCTAATATTTCATGCAACTTATCTCTAAAATTTGAATGATTCGGTGTCTGATTTTCTTCAATACTCCTATTCGCGATAAGAGTTCAGGTGGTAATTTACATAAATATCTCCCATGATGCATCGCTTTGGAAGGGACAAATTTTCATTGGCCCGCCGAACGAGTCTATACTCTGAACGTTTCTCAGCTTCTGATCTTCCATCAGCCCTCAAGCATAGTTATATGATCCAATCTATTGAATAGAATAGATAGATAATCGGAGATTCGAAGTAACATTATTGATATTTTTTCGATCTTCGATGAAGTCTGAGCAATTTGGAAAATCAGTGACGTCACTGAAATTGGACGGCATTTTCAACTACAGATTTCTTCGGATTTGGGGATTACAGTTCAAAAAGCCTTGTTATATATCTTAATTACATACATACCTATCATTTCTGCAAATGCAACTCTACATAAATGTTTAATAAAGTCGCAGTGCGGCATTGAAAATAGCACCCCTGTGTAATCCAATGGGAAAGAACCCGGATGTTGACGATGTTGTACCGTACATGAGAGCTCTTCAAACGAGAGTTAACTAAACTGAACAAAAACTAAACGTTATCGCGTATTGGTATATTGCTATACAATCAGAAGTGTAACCTTCATGTGTGTCTACTTTATTCCATGCCAATTCTTCTATTTTTCACTTTATTTTTCATTTTAGACATTGCCCATCATGACATTTTGGCTCCTAGTTTATCACCTGTGAGAGTCCCAAATTGCTCCTAAAGGAGAGTTTAGGGCATTTATTGAATGAAAGAATGATTTGTATCACACTTGAAAATGCCATAGGGTCAGGTTTTGACAATAAAATTCAATAGAAAACATTAATAAACAAGGGAATAAGCAAATAAACATGGCCTGCCTAACCTATATAGAAAACGGGAAAATGAAACATATCATTCAGGTTTTCAGAGAACTGATGAAGAATTTAACCATCTTTCATTTGCAGTCTTGATATCACCTTGTGTGGTTGTGAAAGAGGAAGATGTTTTGATTCTCTGAAGGATTGGGATTCAGAAAGATGTGAATTATCATCATACATACAATGTTATTTATGGATTGCCATTATTCAAGGAATTCACTTATCAATCTATTTTCTTTTGTTTAAAGCAGTTAGAAATATATACAGACATGGAGGATAATCTTTATTTATATCACAACCAAAAGTGGTGACATATTATTTAGTCTCCAACATTTTGTGGACAGTGTTTGGTGTTCAGCGACCGACATCTGTAACAAATGGCAGGTGGTGAAATGGCAGGTGGTGACATGGCATTTTGCATGTTAGTGCCTTGTTTTTTCATTGCTTTGGTAATTGACAAGAAAATATATCTGCATGTTTTAGACTGAAAAAATTATAGTCTTCATCCTCCAAAATTATTCTTTCTTCTATGACTGTAAATCTAATTGTGTTTTTACGTGCTTTCAGTCTGGCCAGTTCTCTGAAGACATGATTCCAACAGTTGGTTTCAACATGAGGAAAATATCTAAAGGCAATGTCACAATCAAGGTAAGGTCACAATCAAGGTAAGGACACAATCAAGGTAAGGTCACAATCAAGGCAAGGTCACAATCGAGAAAGTTTCACAACCTTCACAATCATAAGGCAATATCACAATCAAAGTACATGTAATATCACAATTTAATAATTTATGTAATGTAGAACCTTTCATCCAAGAATTATTCTCTGTGTTTGGCTAGCTGTAACTAAATCATCACCTTGGACTGAAAAGATTGAACAGTAAATTAAAGTATATTTAATTATATCATTTCAGCTTTGGGACATTGGAGGTCAGCCTAGGTTCAGAAGTATGTGGGAGAGATACTGTAGAGGTGTAAATGCAATAGTGTAAGTTTGTTTCTAGAAATACTGCAGTAGCCAGGGAATCCCCCTGGCCAAAAATTCTTTCAAAATCATGTAGTTTTTCACCACTCTAAGTACTTCAAATGAAATTGGCCATGTTTGGGCCAAATTTGTCAAAAGTGAAACCCCCTGGGATTTAAAACAATTTTTTTTATTAATCATCTTTATTTTATTCCGTTAATACAAGTGACAAAACTAAACAATTGCCAAAGTCGAGTGACTGTAAGTGACGACTGAAGACTAATATAAACAAGCCAACTGTAATTCATACAATGCTAGCTTCAATCAAGCTTCAGATAATTGCTCTCTGGCTTTGATCCTATGATTTATCTGAAGGTCAGTATTTCTTGTGGACTTTTACAACTCTCGATTCAATTCACAATAAATTGTACAATAAAATCAGTTTGCATGTAATTGGATGCAGCGAATGATTTAATGAGATTTAGGATAGTAATATACATATATTTTCATAGATCAGAATCCAAAGATTTATATGAGATAGAATGATATAATATCTTAAAAGAAGGATGAGATCCTTAACCCTGCAGACTCTTCATAGTCTTTGATCAAATCTCCCAATCTTTCTTTTCATTCTATAATTGTAAAATACAAAAAGGTTTCCATCTGTAAATAACACCTTTCTTAAATCAATGTTAATGTTAACTTTATATTCAAACCAATTTAATGAAATGTTAAAACATGTTTTGGTCTTATTCTTGCATTAACAACAACAAGAATTTGCTTCCAGTTTAGGAAAGATTCCAGAAAAAAACACTTTACATATCATGCACAAAATGCTTACAAGTGTTCTGAATCTAGTTGTTTAATACTTGCAGATACATGGTAGATGCTGCAGATAATGAGAAGATTGAAGCATCCAGGAATGAGCTTCACAACTTGCTAGATAAACCCCAGCTTCAAGGCATCCCTGTTCTGGTTCTAGGCAATAAGCGTGACCTTCCAGGTGCCCTAGATGAAAAGGAACTCATAGAAAGAATGTAAGAAAATATTACTTATTAACATACATTCCTTGGTATAGTCAGATTTTCTCAAATGCTCTCCCTCATAGGTTTTCTATAGCGATGCTTACCAACAAAATTCAAGGAAGTTTTCATATTCAGCAATTCTTTTTCTGTTTGAAACTGCAGTCTTCAACCTATAACATCATTCTAAGCTATACTTCTGGTTTTTTTGTAGCTAAAGATGGCAAGACTGTTCCATTTAATTTGTTGTGTCTTTGGCTGGATTTCTGTACATGCTTTTTTGATTGCAAGCAAGATTTTAATCCTAAAAAAAATTTCCAAAATAATCTGCTTTAGATACTTCTCCAATCTGCACTCCGTAATCATGGTTCTGAGTACAATGCCATACATTATTTTTCAGAGAACCATACGTTACTGATGCAGAAACAGTGACATTTTGATGTTTAATTCATTTGGTTTAATTTGCTTTCAGGAATCTATCCGCCATTCAAGATAGGGAAATATGCTGTTATTCTATATCATGTAAAGAAAAAGATAATATTGGTAAGTGATTGCAAACACTTAAAGGCCCCATATAGAGTTTAAACCACTTTGGCTTATATTGTAGTCTTACCCAATGTTATCAAAGTGTGATATGTGAAACTTTTTTTTTAATTTCAAAATGTGGTTTTTGATAGACTTTTTGTTCCAAAATTTGTGAATTTATTTAAAACCAACTTTTAGAGGTCACTCATATCTTCTAATTAGCCACAATTCATACAAATGCATAGCATTCATCCTCCCATGTTTTTTGCCGAAAAAATTAAGAAAATCGGTTCATAAATAAGCGAGAAATGAAATTATCAGTGCATGAAAATGGTTCTGAGAAAAATGCATTTCAAAATTTTAGTTCTCATACAAACCAATGGTACAATGATATCTAAAACATAATTTATTCTTACTTTTAACCTGGTGAGACAATCAACATTGTTTTTTTATGAAAGTCTAACATATTTAGAAAAGATTGACATCGAAAAAAAAATTTCAATTTTTTTCAAAAAGATTTTGGTACCTTAGTGACATCACTAATGTTTCAAAATATTTTTGATATGCTAAGACATTGAAGTGGCCCATTAAATATGGCATTTTATTATTGAAATAGTGTGTCCTTTGTTCAATCTTTGAATTGGTGTTAAAAAGATAATCTTTTTTGAAATGCATTAAGAAATATTTGATGATTAAGAAATTTCCATTATGATCTGATTTTACTGAATTCAGAAATTAAAAAGCTTTACTTGTACCAGTGTGGCAATATTGTAAACCGCTTATCTTTTTGTAAAACTGAATATAAATACAGTTCTACATTCGATTACAATGGTTTGATTTTCATCTTATGTACGAGCCTCTCACCCTCAATTAGTTTAAACCCATTGAATTTCTGCATGAGTGTTTTTTCAAATTTCAGACATTACTTTACAATGGTTGATACAACATTCTAAGAATAGCAGATAAAGATAATAGATAATAGTTGTAGGAAAGACAATTGGCGTAGGATTACATCGTAATATTTTTTACGAAACAGATGTACAGATTTCATTGATATTCATGGACTGGACTCGAGCCATCATATTTGGTACATTAATACTAAGAGGATGTGGATTATGGATACATGGTGTATAATCAGTACTTGTTATGCGGAAATACAGTTAAACTTGTTTATATGAACAGGGCACTTCAGCAATGGATCAGTTGCACTGTTATTTTCCAATATACCCAGTGAACAAATCAACTAGTCTGTATCGGGAATAACCTTGATGGACAGACTAGCCCTATTAGCACAGACCCTCTGTGTGAAAACAGAACACTACAGTTAGCAGTTTTTATTGATATTTGTTTGCTTTGTGCTGCCTTTGTTAATAATTGGACAATAGGTTTGTCTTCCGAATGTGAAATCCTTAATGTTAATGATAATATAATAACACTGTTCTTATAAGGATGCTTCACCTGTCAGAAAAACCTCTCTTATCTGGTATTGGCCAAATGTCTTAGGATTGGCAGGTATTCAGATTGATAGGTGTCCAGATTTTGGAGGTGTATGGATATTCAGGTTTTCCTGTTCATGTATTTTAAAACTGATTTCTTCAAACAAGGAAATTGTGAATTTATGATGATGTATGCCATATTGCAGCTCCAATCAATAACCAGTCTGAATTGTGTATAAATGATTTGGATTAATTGTGTCAATCTATTGAAAACAGAAAAGAGCAACCAGGAAAACTACATACAAGGGTTATTCAATAAAAATTAATAAAATGCTCATTTTTTTACTTTTGTTTCAGTTCAATCAGGAAAAGAGAACTCTCCACTTTTGAAATATTGAGAGTTTTATAAGTTGAAAAGGTACTTAAGACATTGTTCATTTTATATGAAGCCCTGTTATTTTCATCTACATTTCACATTTTTCCAACAAGTACTAATTAAAGTTAGAATGGTAGATATCCTCAAAAGGTAAATGATGGAACGAGCAGTTAGAAGATGTATACAAATAGACAACATTATGCAAATAAAATAGCATAGATTTGATATTTGAAATACTGAATAAGTGATTATTATCATTATGTACTATGTTAGTATATTAGACACTGCCTTAGCCAGTAAATTGTATAGATAACACATTAGCTAATAGCATTCATCATGTCTAATGATTCTTTGAATTGTCTTTTGAGTAACTGTTAGTTGAATTGTGTGAACTGTAAGCTGAACTATTGTATTTACACCGCCTCCCTCTGTGTTTTGAATATGGAAATTATTTAACTGTTTTTGGCTCCAATTTTGATTGACTTTTAAATCAGATATTCTGTCTAGATTTATTTTAGAAACACAGTGTTTCAACATGGCAATAAAATATGGCAAACTGGCAAAGCTTTTGACCATGGAAAATAAGGCAAAATTAGGTCATTTGGTTGGCAGTTAGCTACATAGTTGTAATAGTAAGAATAGCCACAATAATAATCCAATGTGTTGATACTCACGAACATGCTCCTACAAATAATTTGAAATTTTGATTCTGATCTGAAAATCTTGTTACAAAAGGTATCAATTAAGATAGGTCAAGATGAATTACATGGGACATTCTATACATAATTGTGCATACTAACATCATGTGCAAACAAGCCCCAAGGGCCATCTTATATGCATACATAGTATTAGTAAGATAGTTCGCATTGAAATGTACAGTACACAAAATAAGATGTTGTAATTTTGGATAGAATATTTATTATTAAGTTTGATCTGTGGATGTAAAAAGCAATAGTAGTTAAAATAAGTGTCTGATTATGTATTCATTTACTAAAAATTAACAAATTATACTGGGTGTCATATTCTTATGATGATAATAAATCATTTAGACATTTCAATGAATATGGGACACCCAGTATGTATTCCATGCATCCTTATGTACATTTTTGACTTTTAGTTATTTTTGGACTTGATGATGATTGTATCGTATTATAAAGATTGATAAAACAGTTCCATCTTTAACTACCTGTACACAGTTTTAAAATCTGGTATATTAAATGTATTGGCTAGAACATTCAGCCTTGTTTCTTGTATGAACATGATCTTGATAATGTGTAAGATTGTGAGTTATATTTTAAAAAAATGGAACTCTTCCCTGCAGATCTAGTTTGGTATACATTTGTATTTGTAGTTTTTTATGTGTAATATGTGCTAATAGATTTGTGAATTTCAGTGTATTCCAATTTAGATAAAAATGTATTGAAATTTAAAAAAAACTGAATGCATAATATTACAAGATTTTCTTTGAGTCCACCAGACAGACAAACTTCAGCATCTTGTTATCAAATGCTGTAGGTTGTTTACAACAAAGCTGCAAGTTATGCCTAGGTCACATTTGCCAAGATTCATTGGTCAGTGCTCGACTGATTGTAGTATTTTGTTCAAAACCGATTTTAACAGCTTCAAATTGAACAATTCTTTTTTAAAGCATGTACAAGTTCACAGGAGTTCACATCTGACCTCACATTTGAAAGACCTTCAATTTTGAACAAAATACTCAATTGGCCGGGCGCCGGCTGATGAATCGGAGCACATGGGACCTAGACATTATTCATAACAAAGTTGTTAGTCATTCCTTCACAACTAAATGGGTTAAAGCTGTAGATTATTTACAACAATGTTGGAGATCATGCACAACAAAGTTCACTGTATAACAGCAAAATTTTAGGTTATTTCCAAGGTTGTCAATGGTATGTCTCACTTTCAGTGGCTCACATAGATATACATTCCTGCCTGTATTAAAGCAAATATGTGCAACAGTTATGAAAACATCATAATGTAAATTTGTAAGTTCAAACAATTTTGCTTCAAGGATAGAATTTTCTGATTGAATTGTCCCTGAGATATAATTAGGTTGCATTTATTACAAGAAAATGTACATGTAAGGCAAGGGTAAAGTAGTCAATTATTATTGGTGGTATTATATTTCATAATTTTTTAATGTGATAATGAACTCTTTATTATATTATTATATTACTGTATAGTATACATTATGTATCATGTTGTAAATACAATGCAAAATTTAAAATTCAAAGTAAATTGTCTGTTGTGTAGGTAGATTTGGGATCCAAAATGGTCACCTATAATACCAAAAACTAACAGCCTTATCATTCCAAGAGATAGTCCAAGTCTAGGCTGTGATAATACATCAATTCTGCACAACTATTTTTACAACTTGCTATATATATATCTATAAAAGGTACCCATTTTACCTTTTAGCATAGACTCTGAAAGCCACATTTTCCAAAATTAGCCTGCAAACATGATAACCATGCTTTAATGCATTAAATATTTCAAAGAAATACCCAGAGAGCTCTAGATGATACAATGTCTATGTCAATAATCTGCAAAAGGCTAATAAGCCCATATAAAGCAGATATATAATTTAACAGTGATAGAATTTGAATAGAATATAATTTAAAACCTTAACATTTAAAAATAGATCTATGGTTTAAAACTCATTTTAAAATTGAAAGGAACCTTCCTGGTTGGCCCCTGTACCCCCCTAGGAAGTCCCTTTATGTTGAAATACCCTGGGGCGACTGTCAGGCTACCGCGTTGACATCACCCCTCTTTACCAGTAGTGCAGGCTTGTTGCTGTGCACTGGGGACCTTTTACATTAAAACCTAGATCTATATTAAAAACACACCAATTTAATAGCACACCTAGCAATGGATTGCTTTCTGCTCCTCTCTTTCCACTAGGAATAATAGCCACAAATCATGCAAATTGAGGGGTCAGTGACTACCAAACATTGGCCCACAAATTATGTTCCAAAAGATCAGTCACGCTAAGATTTTGAACAAAGGGAACATAAGGGAGGACAACTCATTTCTTTATCCCGATCTTTATATTAAATACAATGATGATTATGAAAACATTACTATCATCTTCTTAACATGAACCTCGTCACTGACATGGGCGTAGCGCCTTGTACGCTGGGTACGCACAGGCGTACCAGATGGTTTCAAATTCACTCCAAATACAACCAAACTTCAAAATTTTCCTAGGGGGAGAACCAAAAGTACTGGCCCCAAAGTCCCCCTGAACGCTTTTTTGCTTCTCTCAACTCTTGCTCCCATGCAGGCTCCCGTGGTGGCGTACTGCTTAGAAAAATTGCGCTACGCCCATGACTGAAAGTATCCATATATTAATTTTACCCCATTCTTCAATATTTTATTTATATGAGGTAAGTTTGGCAGGGGAATTTACATTTGATATGTGCCTTTTTCAAGAGATCTCATATGAGGCTATGATGGCTTTGGAATTGAAATTCAAGGTGCAAAATAATCTGTATGAATTGAAAGATGGCAGCACCTTGAAGACTTATGATTAATGACAGTCAAAGTGTCAAAATTCGAGAATAGATGGCAGGACAGATACTACTTTCATATCGGTGACCTGTGAGCTTCTCGAGTGTCTCCACGTTTCGTTCAAGAGTTTAGGTCATTATCGTTGCTGTTTGAAGGTCTCGTTGATACCTGTATATTCGCTCATTATAACACACCCCATCTCTATCTACCAACATGCCTGTCATCTTTGCTTATTGGAAGATTCGTGGGGTGAGTAAATTTTTGTTCAAAATTTCATGTTTTTATTTTCTATTTTTCTTTTGCCTGTATGATTACAACTTGGGAGAATTATCTACGTGCCTTACACTTAAGATACCTACTTCAATAGATTCCTGGGTATTTTAGCATTATTTTCGTGTAGTCGAAAAAAAAAAGTTTACACCGGTGTGAAAGAAATTATGGTCCCTTGGGGATTATGGTCCCCTTTCTAAACGGCCCTTACTGGCCCTGATTGTGTATAAGATAATAAGAGAAAGAGTTGTATTTATGTCACCATATAAATCAATGGAGAGTAGGACCATACTATGATAGGACCACCTATCCTTTTACACCGGCACGAGTGATTTGAATTTTGGGTTCTTCACCCAGAAAATTAGAAAATGAGATTACGATATAAGTTCTTGGGTGTTTTTAAGTATGAAATTTCAACTTATATGGACAAATAAAATGTAAATTGGAGAACAGCTGAGAGGGATAATCGAAATCTCAGACATGGGACATTGTCAGACGATCTTCAATTATCCTTTGTTTTATATGGTTTCTTTATTGACACTTCATATTGGACACATCATATTATCAGTGTGGTATATTGCAAAAAGTCTAACTATGCCCCTGATTTTCACCTGATACCAAGGGTTTGTCTGGGAATGTCCTGTGGCGGAGAATGCCCCGATCTCCATATTTCAGAAAAACTCAACCTTTCTCTAAATTTGAGAGTACGCCATTCTGTTTATGCGTATGACAAAACTGGAAGTCAAAGGAGTTACTGCGCTCTCAGTCTAATACCTTAATTATGAATGATTAAGCTCAGTGTTTGTTCCCCCCCCCTTTTCCTATCAGTCAGCATTGAAAGCCTTGAAATGGAATTCTAGCCCAGGGGTTCACTTCACTATACAGACTTTGGCGGGGGTATTACGCTGAACCCTCAGATATCTGTATGTTCCCATAATCATTTCGAGCATTTCAAGTGTTTTAATTGATACGCCTTCAAATATGAAATCAATGTTTTGCTGCTTGCGCCTATTTAGCTCGTTAAAGCATTTCAATCACATGACAAATTTAGGAAGAAACAGGCGAAATGAATGAAAAGAAAGTTGAAAATGAACATGCATTTCTTGTTTCCCGTCTCGTTTCAAGCATTTCACACAGATTTTTTAATCATTTGAATTGATTTGTCTTGGAAAAGAAAATTACAGTTTTGGTCGGTTGGTCAGTCGAATGATTTTCCTTGTACATTCACTGTAGATTAACTTATTTTGTACTTTCTAGCTTGCCCAAGCTGTACGCCTTTTGCTGAACTATGTGGGTGAAGAGTTCGAGGATAAAATGTACGAGTGTGGCCCTGGTAAGTATATCCATATATCCCCCAAAGTCCAATATTTCACTATATTGCCCGCAGAAATGATGTTATTAGTATGATTACCATCGTATGTGTACAGGGCTGAAATAGCAAGTACTGGGAACATTGCTTGGGAACATTGCCGGGCATTAATGCATTATTGGCCCACCACTATGCCCCCCCCCCACTATGACGTCACTTATTGCTCAGGTCAATAAAGCAAAATAAATGCCTTCTAAATTAGTACTTAAACCCCTAGAACAGGCCTGGCAAGGTGGTAATAATACAATTTAACGAGGGAAACAAAATTCATTTATGGCCAGTGTATGCCCTAAGGATTCCAGAGCTGCTGGTCAAAATGGCATTACTGACCAGTTGCAATGTTATTTTCCTATACCTAGTGAAAAAATCAACTGGTCAGTATCAAAAGTAACCAGATAATGACCAGCTGTCCGACGCTTAAGGCGTGCCCTGTTTATGGCTGCGTAACTTCATCTTCAACACATGCGGCCATCTATCATGTTATTGTCTCTTATGTTAACATACATTTCAATTCGAGTGTTCTTTGTCATGGACTTCATAAATTTAGACCAATGAAACAGTGACACAATGCACACACTCAGTTAATGAAAAATAAGCTATGTTACATATATCTGGGACAGTTTCTTACAAACAACTGAACAATATTTAAAATGAAGAAATATCAGCTGTACATAAATTTAAAGGGGACGTTTTCCCCACTTAATGATACTTATCGATGTTTAAAATATATTTCACACATAGCTGGGCAAGGTGTGTCCGATTCCAGCCAATCCGAAAAGAGTATTCACATAATGAACAGTGTGTGAAATATCACATAAAGCAATTTTTGTGTAGAAATTGAGTTTCATTGAAAATATGTTCTTTTAGTCATTTTGTATCTCTTAGATGATCTTATAGAAAATATTTTGCAATGTGTGAAAAGAATTTAAGCCCACGACTCAATTCATTGTGGCTGCTTCATTCCACTCAGATGTTGTTTCCTAAAATTTGCATTCCCCCTGCGGGGTCATGCAAAGATTTGCAACCAACATCATCAAGGAATGATTCAGCCCACAATGCACTGAGTCCAAGGCTTATATCCTTAAATCAATAAAAATCTAGTCATGCAATCTGGTTAATCAATGATCTTTTTATCCCCTGACCCCCCCCCCCTCCCTTAGACATTCCAAACAAGAGAGAAGTAGATGGAGAGGGTTTAGAGGCTGCTTATATGCAAGCAACTTTTTCATGCCAACAAACATTGAAATGTTATCAGATAACATAATTTTTGAATTAAATACAAGTGAATGCTTATCTACCCTGTCATTCAACTACAAATATATATTAGATTTAATATTAAGTTTAATTACTAATTTTATATTTCCTCATCTGACCAGGTCAATGTTTTATGTATGATTACAGCTCCAGATTTTAGCCGTGAATGCTGGTACAAAGAGAAGTACACACTTGGTCTAGATTTTCCAAATGTGAGTCTCTTTTGATTTCTAATCTGCATGGCCTATATAGACTGCCAACCTCTCCCATAATCTCCCGTGGGAGAAGACTGATAATTTTGCATTGGGAAGAACTCTGATTCCTATTGTAAGACTAAATTTAATTTGCAGTTGTTTTAAAGATTGTTCCATAGTGGAATTTACCAACAATTCCTTGGAATCTCTACTTACAGTAGGTTATTTTCACATATAGGTTTTGAAAAATATGATTGTAAAGCATTGGAATACATCCTGAAACAAAAACAGTCCTAAAAAGTGGGAATTTTTCAGCTCCCCTACTATATTGATGGGGATATCAAGATAACACAGAGTAATGCCATCCTACGCACCATAGCCCGAAAACATAATTTATGTGAGTATTAAGCTCGAAAACTTAATTTATATGAGTATTTAGCTTATAAACTTCTTTTATGTAAGCATCTATTATGTGTGTATTTGACTCTTTGAATTTGAGTAAAAATTTCTAGACTCTTTAGGCAGCCCTTGTGTTTAAATTTAACTTGTGATCATAATCTATATTTGGTGTCCCAAAAAGTGAGACACTTTTTGACAAGTATTTTCTCAATTGATAGACTAAATTCAAATAAAAATTTTACAAAGTAGCCCAAGAGTATCGTTAGCAAGGTACAAAAATAAAAAAAGATCAAGTAAATATTATGTGAGTATCAAAACAAACACTATAAAAGTCTCATCATACAGCTCCTGTATAGGACATTTCACTCTTTGGTTACTTATTTACCTGTTGAATCTGGTTCATCATTTGCTGAGAAAATACTTGTCAAGAAGTGTCTCACTTTTTTGGGGACATCTGATATGTATTAGCTCATAGGTATATAGGTATTTAGCCTGTAAACTCAAATTGACCTCATAAGTACAATCTATGTGTGTCTATTTGAAGTACTTTGATTTCTGATTTACAACACACTTGCCTCATATCTCCACAAACTAAAGTTTGAGAAGAGAACTTATGAATTCTTCATCTTTATTTTTTATTTTATTTACATTGGTATTGACCTTTAAAAACAATGTGCCCATGATTTTTGTTATAGGTGGCACTACTGATCTCGAGAGAGCGCATTGTGATATGATGGCCGACCAAGCCATGGACTTTCGTAATGGTTTTGTTAGACTCTGCTACAATCCCAAATATGTAAGGATTATTCAGATACAATTGTATACGTTACACACTGCAGGAAACCTGTTTTCTTTTTCTTTATATTTTTTTAGATTGTTTGATGTTTAGTACCATTTTGATGGAGTCATTAAAAAAATGTTCAGGACAATACTTGCCTTAATATATTTGTTCTGATCATATGTGACCATCTCCAGAATGTATAACATTTTTATGTGCGTATATCTTTTAAATTTGTTATTCCACACTCAAGGTTTGTATACCCCATTATGAGCCTATTTGTTGCCATAAGATATTGTCTCATGGTTGGCCAGTTTATTATGTAACTCATATGGATCATACTGCTCAGCACAGTACTGCATAGTAGTAATATTTTTGCAGAATGAAGAGATGAGGGCACAATACCTCAAGGAGTTACCAGAGAAATTCCTCAACAGCTTTTCCAAATATCTCGGAGAAAAGCCCTACTTTTGTGGAGAGAATGTAAGCATAGTATTCCATATGCAGTTTATTTGTATTGTGGCTATTTTTGATTGCAAAACAATTAACATAATGAAGAAGAAAGAAGTGAGAATTAGAGACTAGTTGGGAATTTGGCATTTTACGAAAATAGAATATTTTAACAGTCAGAATATACTTGTAAAAAATGAGAATTGGATGACAAGTTAAGGAAAAAACCTTAGCATTATGGTGTTTTATTTTTGTTTTAGCTGACCTTTGTGGACTTCCATATGTATGAACTACTTGATCAACATAAAGTTTTTGAACCAACAATACTTAACAATTATGCAAATTTACAAGCCTTCACTGCCAGATTTGAGGTAAGCTACAACTGACTGGGTGGCTGCTCCTGTTGCTTCATGTGTTTTTAGTTTTAGCAAAAAATCTAATGTAAATATTGTAAATAAAAGATATAATTTAATCTCTGCAGTGATCATTTAGCGAACCTGTATATCTGAACACCTCTCTAATCTGAATACCTCTCAATGTGAACACTTTTTGGGTCGCATTTTTTAAACTGCCAAAAATAACCATGTTAAAAAACCTAGAAATGTGAACACCTGCCAGTCGAACACTTGGCTGGTCCAAAAGGTATTCAGCTTAGACAAGTATATTACAATAACAATTACTGTAATTAGAATATTGTAATCTTTTCAGGCACTACCAGAGATTAAAAAATACATGGCATCTGATAAGTTCATGAGGCGGCCAATCAACAACCCAATTGCTGGCTTCAAGTAGAGAACATAACTGTCACAGTGGACACTATAGACACTGGTGGAGGGAGGCACTCATACTATAAGAATAACAATAGACAAAGTGAGAATATGTCGCATGTGTTCACAACATATGGGTACTAACGTAGATGTTTAAATTTAGAAAAGTAATTGGTGTCACATATGTATCTTCTACTTTGTACATTGTTTGGGATCAGAGGGAATGCAGTGCCATGTTTATTGAATTGATTCATTTGTTTTAATTTATAACCACTTTAAGTAAGTTTATGTATAGTTAGCTCTGTTCACACAAAGAGAAACCGGTGAGGCATTAAAATGGGGGGGGGGTGTAGAATAGTTTGACAATGGGACACAATTAAGGAATATGATTGAATTACTACAACCACCCCCAATGCTACACTCTTCTGCTCTTCCCCATTTTAAGATCTTAAATTTTGCTCATATATTTTGTTGAGTAACATGTTAATAGAAAAAATTTTATTTTTGAGAATATGGCTTAACTGATTTGTGATAATTGCATTCAGATCGTGCAACAATCTGTAAGGGTAAATTTGTTAGGGTAAATGATTTAAGGCTTTTTATCAATGCCTGAGTGTTTTATATAATGTTAAAGATTCTGTTTAATGATGTCAGTAATTTATTTACATATGATTTCTAGTAAGAAAACTGGAACAGTGGTATATGTCATTACCATATACAGTGGTATATGAACAGAACATCAGATCACTTTGAGTGATGTCATTTTTATTGACGAGTTGATATCAAATATCAACATTAATGAACCAAGTGAATAAGTTTTCAAATCTGATATCTTGAGGCGGTGAAGTGATATCACTCAAAATTATCTAAAATTGGGCTCATCCCATCAAAACAAGCAAAAACTTTTAAAAATACAAATTCGTTTATCATATGGATATGTGACTGATAAATGATATCAGCCGCATATACAAAATTAAAATATGACACAGATCTCCTTAATGTCAGAAATATCTAATGGCTGATATTGAACAGATGACACCATAATCCTGGGATAGATAGATATAAATATATATACATGTGTAGGTTATTACAGTGCAATGGCTTTTTAAGTATAATCAGTTTTTCAAAATAAGGCTAAATAAGAATTTTAGTTCATGATCTCACAATTACTTCTTGATTTCCAGATCGTAGTCTTGAAACAATGAATGTATTAGAATAGTATATCTAGTTATGCCCTCACATGTAAATTATCTGTTCAGTAAGAAATGCAAAAAATATTCAATAAAGTTAAAGCAAAGTCATAATCCTTTCAGGTTTTCAATATCATAAGTTTCTGATAAAAAACAGAAAGGCCTTGCTAGGGCTGTTTTTAAATGCTTTGTAGTCACTTCGGAACATATAATTCATTTATGATTCATATGCTCATTTAGCTGTAAGTTACTTGCTTGTTGCATAACAAATGGTAACAAAATAGATATGTTTGTTGCGGTTAATTTATTAGCACTTTATATATGTGCAATTTGGCCCAACTTGCATAACAATGTACTTATGTGATATGAAGGCTTGTTTCCTGATAGAACAGTCGTATTTATCCACTTATTCTTCACAATGTTTACACCATAATTGAAATGAAATCTGCTGTTTATGGGAATGGTTGAATGTACTAGATGCACATGTAGATGCTGACAATTTTGGTACTTTATTCCAAAATAAACATTGATATTAGAGAAATATGTTTTCCAAGTTTATTGGTTGTTTTGTTAACCTGAAGACTTATACATGTATATAAATGAAACGAGGCTTAATTATTCGAAAAATATTCATGTTTATCAAATTCCATGATTAACAGACAAAGTATTGCAAATTTAATAGTCAAAACTATGGTCCTCTCTTTCACCAATCAGATAGATTTCATCTCAAAACCCTTGAAAACAAAAAGTTTACTTGTGGTTCAAAATGAAAGAAAACAAAAATATATTTCCTTAGTGGGATTTGAAATCAGACCTTGGGAACAAACGCCCATAGCTTTAAACATAAAGAACCAGAGATAATTATGCATGGAAACCTTATTTAGCTATAATCTTTTTTTTGAAAACTAACTATATACATGTATAGTTATAAAACTAACTATATATAGATGTAAATATATCCCTAAGGATGTACCCTATATCCAGTCAGTTTTGAAGGTGTATTTTATGCATCCTTGTTATCTTCAGTTTTTACAGGGACGGATTCCTTAGTCTTGTTGTTGTCTTGACTACAGCCTTTACCAGGTGCAAATACACTTCCACTTGTGCCTACCACAACTCCTAGTGCAATCCCAGGTAGTATTCCAATCCCCGTTGCATATCCTGCCCCCGCACCAATAGCCATACCAAAATAACACATACGATCTGTAATCACTTGTCCCCTGTTATACCGAAGCCTGTAGGAGCGATCATAATAATTTTCATATTCAAATTTTCTTGATGATCCATATGTCACCACTGGCCCAGCAGCTGCGCCAATTATTATGCCGTTTGCGCCATATTTCAGGGCTCTATGTGCTATTGCCTGTATTGTTCGAGGACCTTTAACAAGTTGAGTGACTGGTCCAATTGCTAGCATTCCGAACAAAGCTCCCATTTGAATGGTCTTGGTGCTTATATGGACAAGTAGCTCAAGTCTGGGATTGGAAACGTCCTCCATTTCAGCATCAGTGACTGTCATCCCACACATGTTCTTAAGCCATATTGCACCCCCCTAGAAACAGATGAAACTTACTGATTACATTCAGTGCCCTGAGTTGCTTAGAAATTGCATGAACACTTACTCTTCTTGCCAGATGATCTCAGGGAAGTTGGGCTTTATCATAAACCTCGTAGGTGGGGCATTATACCGAAAGGCATTATACCAAAACCCATTATACCGAAACCCATTATACCGACGCGCATTGTACCGAAACGTTTTCCTGCGGTAGAACAATCTGCTTGTAACCTTTAAAATTAGCGAACACATATTTAAAGTTTATTTGGAGTAAAATATTACAGTTTTCACGTTTTGATACATGGTATTCATTAATTAGAATTGACGAAAATCCTAACAAACGGGAAACATCTACTTTGAGACTAGAACAAACTGTCATCGTTTCCAGTTGATCCTCAGAGATAGAAAAGCCGCCCGTTTGTTTGTCTGTTTGTCCGTGTCTTTATTCGGAAAACAACTCAATAGTTTATAGGAATACACCTAATGGCCATAGTACGTATGATTCAGAACAATCTTCGAAAATGGAAGCCAATTAAAAAAAAATTGCCACAATTTTAATATTTATTCCGTGTTTAGTTTAAGTATCCCTTTTCGAGGGCAGAGAAACAGGTTACTAAAAAGAAAATATGTAGTAAAATTGTATGTAACACATTATGTAATACAAAATAATAATATGATGAAATATTTCGTGAACTGACAACATTACGTACGTTTTTATGATTTGAAATAGCCACATATACACAGGGTGTGAAATGGCGTTGTTCATGTTGTTCCCCTTTCCACAGTATAAACTACGAGAATTGCCTATACATTCTGTATGTCATTTAATTGAATAAAATGAACCCTATGAACCCGATGAAGATGGTCACACTCCCTTTTAAAAGTTCGTTCAAAGTATGTCTTATTTCTATTATGCATCTTCATCTTTTCACACTTTAACAACAATTTAATGGTCTTTCCAATGGTATATAATATATGTGTGTGCCTTTTCGAGTTTATGCTGTGGATGGGGGGGGGGGGCACAACGCCACTTGACACCCTGTACAACGCTCAACACACCATTGGAAAGCTTATCTTGTCTACCGTCTTTAATCTCCTTTCTAATAGAAGTAAATCAACCGTTACGCATTGATCTTTAATGATAGATGACAAAACATATTTTGCTGACTAACAACACTACATATAATTTGAAATAGCTAGCCACACATACAGCACATCATTGGAAAGCTTATTTAGTGTTCTTTAATCTCGTTCATAACAGAATCGAATCAAATGTAGGTGTTACGCATAGAATTGTAAATATAAATCAACACAAAATATCTTTTCAGGCTAACTACATGTACTATACGCCCGGACTATACGTACATCTTTTGTTTACGATATGAAATATCGCTACGCACCCACACATTTCGCACACCATTGGAAAGCTTACATTGTCTTCTTATAAAATAATCTCTTTTGTTCCAAAGTAAACTTTAATAATAAATAAGTGACATATTTTCGCAGACTAACAACATGTGCGTGAAGGTCTGACTTAACTGTGATTTTAGGGTGTTTGCAGTATTGAGTTTCCCTTCTTTGATGAAGCTTATACTAGTATTCTGTTGCTATTTCTTGCCTGGTTTTCCTGATTAAATGTATGATTTTCAATAATACTTATCATACTCTTTTACTCCTATCATACATCTTCCATTACAAGCCGTTTATAGATCACAAAATCATGGTATCAGTATACGACAGCAATGGTTTTCGGTACAACGCGCATCGGTATAACGGGTTTCGGTACAATGCGCATTGGTATATTGGTTTTCGGCATAGGTTCTGGGCCGATATATTAACAAAGATCGACCACCATGCCATCTTTATTTAAAAATTATTCCTATCGGCCTTTGCCTATTGTTTTCGGTACAATGCGCGTTGGTATGAGGTGATCCCGAATTTACGATCTCTGAAACTTAAATCAATGTTACTCATGACCCACGTACCATGACTGGCTACGTTACTTGATTACGACGATTTTATACAAAGCCGAGAAGTTGTCTTATTTATCATGACATTTTGACATTGCAAAACAGAAATATATACATGGTGGGATAAAAGATCTACTAACCTTTTTAGAAGTAGATTCTCCAGCCATTCTTGTAACCTTGTGTAGTATTCGGGCAACTTTGAATAAACCTTATCTATAAACTGTACAGGCACAGTACACTATTTGTGTTATGGATCAAAAGCAAAGTAATCATTCAAACAATGCAAGTACTCTCAGTTAAAGTATATTTATCTTATGACCACACAGTAAATAAAACATCTGAGCAGCACTTAACGTTAACGAGGCGTATAGCCTTATTTTTTCGTGAAGCCACTCAGTAAAATTACAATTTCTCTGCAACCTGATGTCCAATCAAGATCATTCAAGTATCTAAGTGTTGCTGACACGTTTGGGCGTCCGGGAATAACAACGTCTACCCAATGTTTGCACGCGAAATTGACGTAATTCATGACTGAAATCGGGAAGACAAAATTTGAGATTCACAAACTAAATTGCTTGTGAAAACTATTTACAAAAGTGTTCCGGAGACTCTAATCTACTTGGCTAAGGTGTTATTTGAAGATACATTGCCTTATTAAGCAGGTAGAGGGGCATACAGAACACGAAAGCAAATGCTATTTTGAAAATTTTCTATATTTCCGTTTGAACATGTCACGTAGGCCAATGTTTTATATGGGGATTATATGTACTTTACTTGTTACATGAACGTAAAATCATAACATGAAATCTGCAGTCTTCCAGGTTTTATCTGGGTTTGTATTGTCTTATTGGGGCTTTTCAAACAAACCTTACCTCATGGTAAATGGATTTGTGTCTCGGGAACATTTTTGTAAAAAAAGTTAAGGACCTCATAGGTTTACATGTTAACCCCCATATTTGTTTAACGACTGTTTCCTAAGCGGGGAACAACAAAAGAATTCCCAATAAAGAAAATAAATCTGTATCTTGATTCTATTCGCTATAAAGTCCGCAACGTTTCAATTTTATATCTCCATTACTTTGGGTCAAAATTTTATGTTAAAATTGATGAATTTCATGAAATTTAACAAAAATGGCAGATCCCATGTTAAACAAATGGGGAATGGTTGGGTTGCCATAAGTCATATGAGGAACGATCCATCCATCCGATTGCTCTCAAAATTGAGATTGTAAGAGATAATTAAATTTGCAAAATTGTCTACTCGACAAAAATATGATTTAATTACCCAAATGCGAGTAGGTAGTTACCAGTTTCACCACCAGGTGGCTGATTCGGGTCAATTAACATGGCAGGTATATAAGAACGTTCCCTTAAACTTGAATATTATCAATTTAAGTGGCTCAATTTTCATATAACCCTTATGTGTCTGATACTTGTACTAATGAAAATATGTCCAGTAAAGCAAAATATTATCTGTCCACTAAAAGAAAAGATATTTCATTTTTTATGATTTTATAGCATAGGGTCTATGGGGAATCTCCCCGAGCTAGAAGTCACATTTTCAAAGAAAATTAATTTTTCAAAGTTGATAAACACTTTTTAAAACCACATTTCTAGATGTAATTTTACATGTAGATTTCAAATATGATATTACTTTGACTGATTTTTGAATTTTTAATGACGTAAATCAAGATTATTTCTACTCGCATCTGGGTTATTGTCCAGGCTTTACAAAAGTTAATGGTTTCAAATTCAATAATTTTTTAATGAACCTCTTATTGAAATAACACAGGTGGTTCAGTGAGGTGGTCAAAATTACTATAACGCTCCGTATCGCTAATTTTAACAACATAAGCGAGACATTTAGCATGTAAAATCATTCAATTTTCTACTTAGAAATTATTTTTAATAAATGTTTTGCTGAATAGATATTCCAAAATCTGTCGGAGTTGCCCCTAAGCCACCATTCCACATTTGTTTAACATGGGATCTGCCATTTTTGTTACATTTCATGAAATTCATCAATTTTGACATCAAATTTTGACAGAATGTAATGGAGATATAACATTGAAGCGTTGCGGACTTTATAGGGAATAGAATCAAGATACAGATTTATTTTCTTTATTGGGATTTCTTTTGTTCCCCGCTTAGAAAACAGTCGTTAAACAAATATAGGGGTTAACATGTAAACCTATGAGGTCCTTAACTTTTTTTGAGGAGTATAGTTATTATAAACAATTCTGAAAGAATATCACATATTTTTGTCTTCCCGATTTCAGTCATGAATTACGTCAAATTCGCGTGGAAACATTGGGTAGACGTTGTCATTGCTGGATGCCCAAACGTGTCAGGAACACATAGATACTCGAATGATGTTGATTGGACATCAGGGTGCAGAGAAATCGTAATTTTACTGAGTGGTTTCACGAAAATATAAGCAGCACTTTAAGTCTATGTCAATGCTAGACCCGTGTAAAATTTAAAACACTCATTAAACAAACATTGAGGAATAACTGACATCAATTTCGGCCTTATAGCTGTTATATTTTTGATTATATTGTCAAATGATTAACATGTCGCCACAGACCCTGGAGTTGTCGGAGCATGAATATATAAGGGTTATGTACTGGGAGGTTTTGGATATGGGGTTTATCCAGAGGGAGATATGCATATCTACCTGAGGGACCGTAGGGACCGAAGGTAGATGTGCATATCTCACGAGGGATGAACCCAATATCCAAACCGACCGTACATAACTGCTTTATCCTATACCAAGTAGAGTTTTCTAATTTTCTTTCGATTTTTTCAATTTTTTTCACATTTTTCTAATTTTTTTCAATTTTTTCAATTTTTTCAAATTTTAATTTTTTTCAATTTTTTTTCATATTTTTTCTTTTTTTCAATTTTTTTAAAAAAATTAAAAAAAAAAATTTCGAAGCGGGAAGATATGCGCTGGAGCGGGAGATATGGCGGGAGATATGGAGGTTCAGGATATGGAAACCTCAATACGGGATATATCTTACCAACTTATCTCCCTAAAACTCTACTTGGCATAGGATAAACCGTCATATTCATGCTCCGACAACTCCAGGGTCTGTGGCGACATGTTAATCATTTGACAATATAATCAAAAATATAACATATCTTCCCGCTTCGAAATTTTTTTTTTAAATTTTTTTAAAAAAATTGAAAAAAAGAAAAAATATGAAAAAAAATTGAAAAAAATTAAAATTTGAAAAAATTGAAAAAAATTGAAAAAATCGAAAGAAAATTAGAAAACTCTACTTGGTATAGGATAAAGCAGTTATGTACGGTCGGTTTGGATATTGGGTTCATCCCTCGTGAGATATGCACATCTACCTTCGGTCCCTACGGTCCCTCAGGTAGATATGCATATCTCCCTCTGGATAAACCCCATATCCAAAACCTCCCAGTACATAACCCTTATTTATGTCACATTTTGTTAGTGTTTTAATTGCATTGGTTTAGCTCTTTGGCACATTAGTTATTGATATCATACACATGTATAGCTAAATTCACTCCTCGAAGTAATTCCCCCGGTTGTCTATTATCTGTCGGTGCCTTATCAACCACTCTTTATACACCTTCCCAAATCTTTCTTTAGCCATTTTTGAAGACTCCCTTGAAACGGCATGACGCAATTCCTCCTCTGTTACAATCACATGGCCTGCTAATCGTCGTTTAAGGTCCCAAAAGAAAGAATCTGGTGAGTATGGTGATGTAAATAAAGTTTCAATAGAAAGTAGATCCAATGCAATATTGACATCCCGTGACTTATGCACTGGTGCAATGTCCATATGCAAAATCATATTGTCTAGCAAACGAGGATGTTTCTTTCTGTCATGCCATTTCAGGGAAGTCTTTGAAATGGCTAAAGAAGGGTTTGGGAAGCTGTATAGATAATAGACAACCAGGGGAATTATTTTGAGGGGTGAATTAAGCTATAAATGTGTATATCAATAACTAATGTGCCAAAAAGCTAATTCAGTACAATTAAAACACTGCTCAGTCAATTGAGGTGTGTAAAATGAACAAAATGTGATGTAAACCGTCGTATTTCTCCACAACTCCGGGGTCTGTGGCGACATGTTAAACATTTGGTAATAAAATCAAAAATATAATAGCTATGAGGCTGAAACTGATATCAGTTATTCCTCAATGTTTGTTTAATGAGTGTTCCAAATTTGACAAAAAACTACCTGTGCCTTAGATCTCCCTCAAAATATTCTCATGACATCTGGGACACCCTGTACATCTTGAAAAGACACTTTAAAATGAAGTACAAATCTCAACTGAGGAATGAACTTAAAACAAAACTGAGGAATGTACTTAAAACAAAACTGAGGAATGTACTTAAAAAAATGTATGTTGATATTGTTGAATGAAGGGAGGGGGGAAGACAACAAAAAAGTCAATGTTCATTTTATATCTTTATTTTGAACTTCCGTGTTGTAATAAATAGTCCTGCAATGAATAAAACAAATGAAACATAACCCAGGTTAATTCAATTAAAACATACTAATAATATTACAGGGTGTGCCATTATAAATGCACCTAGTGCTGTAACACTATTGTCAGGACAACCTGTAATTCTACTTTTTTCTATCATACAATAACACTTTTTGTACTCATAATGAGACAATGAAACTGATAACTTATTGTACTCATACATTCATAAGGATCATGGAAAATATTCATTTACACAGGGTGGGTTTATATGTTGTTCTCAGATTTATGAAAACCGACAGATTGTAGGCAATGCACCAGTTTATCATTTTTGTGCATCATCATTACTGACAAGCCGTTCAGAAATCTGACACCAAAAGTCTGAATGGTTCACTTTTGACTTTTCTTAAAGCTTTTATCTCTATTTTGATCTCCAACTGCTCTGTCAAAACTGATGCGTCATTCTAAATCTGATCTGCCTCAAAATTTTATTAACTGGAGAATCAACCACTGACAGACTCGAGTCTGCAAGCTTTAACTTTATTTTTTACATCTCATTCCATCTTGTTTCATCCATTGACATGTTATATATACTATAATACACTTTAGTGTGTTATCTTTATATTTATACATACATTATACGTGTACTGCATTTTAATCAATGACACTATTCACATTGAGCTAATCAATGAGTCTAATTCAAATGGAACTACCTTGTACACAAATATAGGTATAAATAAATATAGAATTATTATAAACTGGTTTCATGCTCAACATGAATTCTAATTCTGTACACAATATTTATAAGCAAGCGATGTAGCATGAAGTGCATAGCATAAACTATGTTTTTTTCGATTCAAACTTAATGTTTTTAAAATATTGGAAAAGTATTCTGGAGTGGATATATTTCTAAATCCAATGACTGAACATGGTCACACTCAGGAGGCCATTCTGATTAGTTCTTTGAACAATGTAAAAACTGAACATTTACAATAAGAGGACTGACAAGCAATATAATCCATGTTCTGCAATTGTAAGACAAATGCAGTGACGCCAATTATTGCCAGTATTTATCTACATGGATGACATAAGATTGCTTCACATGATTATGTTTGCCTCATGTGATTATGTTTGCCTCATGTAATTATGTTTGCCTCATGTGATTATGTTTGCCTCATGTAATTATGTTTGCCTCATGTGATTATGTTTGCCTCACCTATTCCCTGCTTACATTTCTATAGAATGAACTCTGCAGAACCATACAACCATACAATAATTTACAAGTCTCTCAATAAAATTTGCTATGACCACGTGAAAAAAATGAGATGCAAAATGGAATAGGAAATGGAATCTGGTTTCATGCTCAACATGAATTTCATGCATTTCATCCAATACACTGAAATGTTCTTCTAATATACTTATCACCCCTCAGAGGTTGAATTTGTAAAAAGGTTTGAAAGATGTACTACTGTGAAACTCTTTAGCTTTAAAGAAGCTTACAGTAAATCAATGGATACTAAAATATCTTACATAAACATCATGGAGTTCAAATATGAACAACCCAAGTGTTTATTTAGATTTTACTGGACATGTGTATCCTGAGGTAGGTTGAATAACATGCTGACATCTAAAGGATTAACATGCTGACATCTGAATAAATACAATGCTGACACTTCAATAAATAACACGCTGACATCTGAATGAATACCATGTTGACATCAGAATGAATAGCCTATCATGATGACATCAGAATGAATATCATGATGACATCAGAATAACATGCTGAAATTTGAATGAATTACATGCTGACATTTAATTGAATAACATACTGACTTTGAATGAATTACATACTGACATCTGAATAAGATGCTGAAATCTGAATGACTATCATGTTGATATTTGAATGAATAACATGCTGACATCTGAATAAATTACATAATGATATCTAAATGAATGACATGCTGACATCTGAATGAATATCATGGTGTCATCAGAATGAATAACATGCTGACATCTGAATGAATTACAGTGTACAGTATTCTGGAGCTACCCTTTTATTATTGGCATGTTGAGGACTACCATTACCATGGAAGTCTTAGCCTTTTAATTGAGAACCTATAATTCATTGATTTGGAAATGTTTGCATTGCAGCCTAGCACTTAGAATTACTGCACTTAAAATTACTTGATTACAGTTTTTATATATTCAATAGTATAACTTTTTTGTATACAAAATAGCTTTAAAATGTGTTGGGGATCACACTTCTTTTTATATAATAAATATTTCTCAATGCTTTATACTGTTCAGATATTTGTTCATGATTCAAAGTTCCATCTCAGAAAATGTTTGAAAACATGAAGCATTCTTTGGGTAAATATTCACAAATCACCAATTTTACAAAATTGTGATATTATTTGTTACATCCGTCTGCTGATTCACATCCATTTGGTGTTGCATTATGGATATGACATTACTCCTCTGCCAGGGAGTCCCCCATGAAAATCATCTAATCTGCTAGGTGTTGCATTATGGGTATGACACTACTCCTCTGCCAGGGAATCCCCCATGAAAATCATCTAATCTGCTAGGTGTTGCATTATGGGTATGACACTACTCCTCTGCCAGGCAGTCCCCCATGGTGAGCCTGTAGTCTGCTATCTTAGAGATACCATGATAGTGCACAAAAGCAGCCGCAATGACAAACATGTGAAAAATCTGGTGGCTTTGGAACTGCAAAATAGCAAAAGGTGAAAATTGATTAATAAAAAGAATGAAATCATTTAGAATTAAAAAAGTGTTCAACACATCTGAAATCAGCATTCAGATTTCATCCATCGTCTTTCTTAAATAACCCTATGTTGGATATCTTCATGCACAAATACGCCACAACTATAACAGGAAAATGAACATAAGCACGTGACATCAGAACACAAAAGCTACTTTCAACGAGTTCCAAAGCCACCAACACCATATAATGGATAGAACATACCAAACTGTCATGAAATAACACAAGTCAGAGTTCAGTATGATTAACAATAAGCCATTTACTGTTCAATTGCAAATTATATGAAGATGTGTAATGTAGACCTAACTCACATTTCAAATGACACAAGCCTGTATTTTCCTGAATGTCAGCATGTAGACACAATATTTTGACGAGTAAAGCACAAAACACTAAATATATTACATACTCAATAAATATTTATACTCAAGATATACATACTCAATATATTAAACACTATAGATATACAATATTAATAGCACACCCCACTCAATATATACACACTCAAGATATAAAGCTGTCACCTGGACAGTGAATATAAATAAATATCTTTATAACATATAAGTTAACGCTCATCATAACAATAGAACAAACTCTAATACTAGAACTTTAACAGATCTTCACTTCACTGTTTACTTGTCTATAAAATTGTACCACATAAGGGCATCAAAGCATCAATCCACACCAAACCACAAAATAATTTTTACTGTCTCTAACTCCATATATATATAGAGTTTCATTTTTGTGTCACCCTGTATTTGATTGTTCAGAAATATCGATTTGAAAATCAAAAATCAAATACCAACATAAACTGATTGAGCTATTTGCCTTCTCCTATCCCATTGCAATGAAAACTATTAACATTGTGGTTGGGTGGGGTTGGCATTTACATTTTGATTCCAAAGTGTTGCTCCAACTTATAATGTTCAGTGGATTCTTCAGCATGTACATGTACATGTTTAGAAAATTCCAACACAACAAATCCTGACACCTTTTGGAGAACCAAAGAAACTAGAGTATTTTGGCCAGATTTATGAAATTGATTCATGAGATTGATTTATGACGATATATTTTGCAGGCAGCAATGCTCGTAATAACAAAAAACTTTTGAAAATAATCAATAAGTTAATTCTATTTTTGCCCTGAAACTACAAGATTGACATCAATACCAATAGGTGGCAGGATTTACTGCATTGTTCAATTTCAATAATTAGAGTTCGCTCCCAACTCCAAAAGAGAAAGCGTTGAAAGATTCTGCCGGATTTTCACAGCCATGCTTTAAACTATTTTCTCGTAGATTTGACAGTCCATGGTAACACACAAATGCTGCCACCACAACAAATACATGGAATATCTGGTGGCTCTGAAACTGAAAATCAAGCTGGATTAACAAACATTCCATCCATAAATTTGGCAACTGGAATCCCCCTGTGGATCGCTAATGAAAGCATGTTTATGTTTGCCATTAAAACAAATTCGACATTGTCATAAATTTTCAAACTATTGTAATTAATAAATAAAATTAAGATTGAAATGTTGATATGCAACCCAATGCTCTTCTGTGTAAATCTGTATTACTTTTTCAGGGATGCTTTCCTGTAGCATTCAACCATTTAGATTTGTTAATCTTTGTTTCTTAATAGAGCCTCTTATACACTGAACACTGCACTCATAGTAGCAGCATTCATATCTATGAACCACAGTAAGTCCATTGTTTCAACCATGAAAATCATGACGTCATACCTTAACGAAAATATAAATTCATTGAAACCTTACGGAAATGCACCCTAGATTGATCATAAATCATGCTTACCCAAATGTCAAACTTTCCTGGCCATATTCTCTCAGGTATTCTCACTGCATAGATGACTGCGCCAGATATATAGAGTATGGCCATGAGCACTAGCCAGCCTAGAGATGCAAAGTTTATAGCGTGCCAGAAGCCATCAGTGATGACGTAGTGCATGGCTGGGATGACACCACTGAGTCCCAGGGCTATAAACACTCCTGGAAGAATATAGTTGAGATACAGTAAAACTTGTGTAAGTGGAAACCTTTGGACTCTCTAAAAGGTGTTCCACCACTTGGGAAGTGTTCCTTTTTCACATGTTCATTTCTTGTTGAGCCAATGGGTCATAGGACTCTGAAAAGTGCTTCACTTACACATATCAGTGTTTCCTGTAGTAGAAATAGTTATGGTTTGTACACTCTTAGATTAAATGCATTATAGTGCAAAACAAATGTTTTTATTTTGAATTTTATTATTTAATAGAAAGATATTTTGTGATTATGATTTTAATAAAAAAAAGTTTTTAATATTTAGAAAGATATTTTCTAATTATGATGCCCGCCCAACAGCACAAGACGACGACAATATAGCACTTTTTCAAAGTGCGATAAAAAAACTTATCAAGAGGTGTCAAGAGTAGCTTAACTTATTAAGTACGTGTTTGACCTTTTAACATTTCAAGATAAGGGCTGTTTACTACAAACAGCCATGAGACATTGTGTAACCTTGTAATAAAAAGTCTTGTGTGATGACATTCATTTTTAATTAAATACGCATAAATCTGATAAAATCTGACACAGAAATTTCATTGACAGATAACAGACACACCTTCTATGATATTTCACAATTTAAAAATGCAGCGATAATAAAATTGAAATCCTGTTGAAAGTAGTTGTGATAAAGACGTCATCAATTAGACTGTTTAGATTGAGATTTTTACACCATGTAAATATAGGCCACTAGCCATAAATATTTGTGAAATAAAACTTGATTTCTCTTTCAATTTCTAAATAATTCACAAGATTACATTAAATCAAGTTAATATTCTATCTTTCAATCCAATTTATGTTCCAGATAAATACATTATCCAAATTTAACGTAGTTTAACATCCGTCATTATCTCCCTTGGGATTTTTAATGTTTTTTTTTACCCCATCCATACTTAATCACCAAACTTTATTATGAAACAAAAAATTATAAAAATCTACCCCTTCCAGCTCACCCTGATGTGGAAATAAACAAACTTCAAATACAGAACAGAGGTTTATTTGCTTTTAGAACCCTGCAACAAAACTGCCAAACTTAAAATACAGAACATAGACGTACCAGCTCTCAGTGCTCTGAAGCGAGGCTCACTGAATTTGTCCCAGAGAGAGACTATAATACATATAGTCCCAAGAGTAAATATCAACACGAGGTAGACAACCTTAGGTTGTAACCTGCAGTAGAAACTGTAGTATAACCAGGGCACGAATGATCCCATTGTCAGTATTGCTATCCCACAGTAGTCTAATCTGAAAAACATCAAAATCATAGTCTCTGATATAATGTAATGCATCAGAACCTTAAACATAGAAAGTATTTTGCAGTAAACTTTACTTGAGCATGAATGCTATATGGATTACCATCAAACAGCAGCCCACTCTAAAAGTAAATTGTGAATAGAACTGTGAGTTGGGATTTTAAAGGAATTGTTCAGAGTAAATGTGTTGCTTTCAATTTTTTATAATACGAAATAGTTTAACTTAGTACAATTTCAACTTCACCACCACGGTCCATTTTTATGATAATAACTTACTATAAGAAGAACAATTAAAATATGACAGTTCCAAAGATACACCAGGTTAACAGGGCCCCCTTAACAGTGATATATTTTCACATAAACACTTACTTATTAAACAGCTTCCCTATTCCCTCTGAGTGGCAGTAGACAGTGATATATTTTCACATAAACACTTACTTATTAAACAGCTTCCCTATTCCCTCTGAGTGGCAGTAGACAGTGATATATTTTCACATAAACACTTACTTATTAAACAGCTTCCCTATTCCCTCTGAGTGGCAGTAGACAGTGATATATTTTCACATAAACACTTACTTATTAAACAGCTTCCCTATTCCCTCTGAGTGGCAGTAGACAGTGATATATTTTCACATGAACACTTACTTATTAAACAGCTTCCCTATTCCCTCTGAGTGGCAGTAGACAGTGATATATTTTCACATGAACACTTACTTATTAAACAGCTTCCCTATTCCCTCTGAGTGGCAGTAGACAGTGATATATTTTCACATTAACACTTACTTATTAAACAGCTTCCCTATTCCCTCTGAGTGGCAGTAGACAGTGATATATTTTCACATAAACACTTACTTATTAAACAGCTTCCCTATTCCCTCTGAGTGGCAGTAGACAGTGTGGAAGATCCAACTGAAGCCAAGACACAAGATGGCGCCAGCAAAGAATGCGGAGAATACTGCTTTCTCCTGCCACTGCACCTCAATTGTTGGTCGGGTTAGAAAGTACACTGTGACCGTTATAAATGCTATAAACCCTGAAAATATAGAATCAGCCATTTGCAAACAATACGGTCAAGCAAGCCTCTCAGGACCACAAGTTTCTGAATGGTAGGTGTATTTAAAGGTGTGTCTATACTTAAAGTTTATTTAACATGGCAGTCAATGGAAAGGTTAAAAATTTGGACTGAAATATTTTTCTGATTGACAGGTGTTTCGATAAGATGGGATAATAAATAAACAAGACACACAGTGATAAATATCACACTTTGAAGAGCAAACTGGCCACCATGCAATTTACCCAGCATGGCCAAAACCTAATCAGACCTTGGCACTAGTCTGCTCTTGCATCTGTAAACATTTCAAGTTGACAAGGTTAGCGGTTTTCCTGCAATTTTGATGAGAAGAATTTATTTGTAGTCTTGAACTTTGGGAAAATTTAGATAACATTGTTTGTGACCTAATTTGATGACCTTCGACCTTGAAAATTTCACTTTTTCAGACCTCAGTAGGTCTTTTGTAATTAGCTGACCTAAATTTAAATCCAAAATATCAATTTAGAAAATCAAATTTTTGACCTTTTCAAGGCCACTGAAGGTCAACGAAAGGTCAAATCTGAAATCTAAGGTCAGATTTGAACTTCTGAGAACATGTAGATGTTTTTAAAAAAAAAATTTGGTCAATTTGGAGCAAGTTGAAAAATTCAAAATGGCCACCAAATTGAAAAATTCAAAATGGCCACCATGTAATTCAGCCAGCATACCCAAAACCTAATCAGATCTTGGCAATAGTCTGTTCTTGCATCTGTAAAAATTTCAAGTTGAACGGATAAGTGGTTTTCCTGGAATTTTGATGACAAGATTTGTTGAAAAATTCAAAATGGCCACCACGTAGTTTACCCAACATGCCCTTAACCTAATCAGATCTTGGCACTAGTCTGCTATTGCATGTGTCAAAATTTCAAGTTGAACAGGTTAGCGGTTTTCTTGGAATTTTGATGACAAGAATTGATTTGTAGTCTCAAACTTTGAGAAACTTGGATAACATCATTTGTGACCTAGTTTAATGACCTTGACTTTCGACCTTGAAAATTTCACTTTTTCAGACCTCAGTAGGTGTTTTGTAATTAAGCTGCTGCAAGAGCAGACTATTGCCAAGATCTGATTAGGTTTTGGGTATGCTGGCTGAATTACATGGTGGCCATTTTGAATTTTTGAATTTGGCGGCCATTTTGAATTTTTCAACTTCCTCTAAATTGAACTTGTAGATGTTTTTTAAAAAAAAATTTGGTCAATTTAGAGGAAGTTGAAAAATTCAAAATGGCCGCCAAATTCAAAAATTCAAAATGGCCACCATGTAATTCAGCCAGCATACCCAAAACCTAATCAGATCTTGGCAATAGTCTGCTCTTGCATCTGTAAAAATTTCAAGTTGAAAGGATAAGTGGTTTTCCTGGAATTTTGATGACAAGATTTGTTGAAAAATTCAAAATGGCCGCCACATAGTTTACCCAGCATGCCCTTAACCTAATCAGATCTTGGTACTAGTCTGCTCTTGCATCTGTAAAAATTTCAAGTTGAACAGGTAAGCAGTTATCCTGGAAATTTGATGACAAGATTTGGTTTATGTCCCGCCCGCCCGCCCGCACACCCAAACGCCCGCACGCCCGCCCAACAGCACAAGACGACGACAATATAGCACTTTTTCAAAGTGCGATAAAAAGGAATTTTTATTGCATCAAATGGGAATATGGTAAATGCATTAAATTTATCTTAAACTCTCTGGATTTATGGTTTTCAATTTCCACAAGAATTTAATTTGACTGATGGAACATGTCAGACTGACCTTACGGAACATTCTGAGTGAGTTTTAGTTTTAATGAACCAAATGGACTTCATTCTTAAAGTTGTTTTATAAGAAAATCTTCATAAACAGGAGAGTAATTAATTATGCTCTGAAAATTCATTTAACAGAGACACATTGGAATTCAAATTCAAAATCAAATGAAAATCAGGTTGTTAGTTGTAGGATTCATTTTGCCTATCACTTTTTGCAATTAAACTTAATTTGTGGTTGCCATAGCTACATGTGTAATTGGGTTGAGGTTCAACTCTAATATAAGAATGGCTTAACCTCGAGCCAATGCTTACCTAATAAATGTGTCCATATATTTCCTGTCTCTGTGTGTATGCGGAATACAGATTTAAAGCACTCTTTGTATGTATGTAACTGAGGCCTGTGCCCCTCAACCAAAAAGTCATTATCCCTTAACCACTTAGGTAAATGAGTATGATGAATTACATTCCAGCCTTCCTCCCAGATCTTTCTGACAAATTCTTCAGCTGATTCTGTTGCTCTGTGGGTGACAGATGCAATATCAAAACTGCCGTCATCAAATTCCTCACCATCTAGATCATCCTGAATATAGAATCATTTCAGATAATTACATTTGCATACAATGAATTTCAAAAACATGGTCACCATATTTGAGGTTTAACTTCACTAAAATTTCATTTAAATTTTCAAGGACGAGCAATTGTCTTTTAAAATATCAACTTATTGCATTTGTTGATTGCCATTCTTAATACTCTAAACTACATCTAGGAATTAGTTCACTAACGTCACTCCAGTCAAGAATTTCACTCAATTTCTCTTTAAAGTTTAAAAATTGTTTGAGGTTTTGTATATCTATATAACTTCTTATTTGTTTATTTCCTAAGGAAAGTCTACTTTTTATTGTTCTATATTTTTGAAACATGACTGTTGTGACATTTTGTCTACAGGGGAGACATTAGTGAGGGGATCAAAATGCAATATATTCACCAAATGAAACCATGCTGTCCTATCTAAAACATTTGAGAAGAACCTCAATATTTCTTCCATGGGGCCATTTATTCTGCAGATAACAAGAGACATACAATGTTCCCAGAATGCAGTTCATAGACTGGGATTGCGCATCCTCCTTCATATCAGATCAGAATAAATGACCCCAAGAATATCTGCAAAGGATACCACTAAAAAGATGCAATGGGTTTTAAAATGTGCAACTAATACATAAAAATACACCATACACCTATAATGACTGATACTATAAAAGAGAACCTAGAATGAACAAAACAAATAGTGCAAATATAATAAACAACAGTATATTACTGCAAAGAAAATTCTGGTGCAGTGCCTAAAATGCACAAAATTGATACATAAAAAACATCCACATATTGAATGAGCATGATTAAATGAACTTGATTAAGTACAGATAAATATTGAATGAGCATGATTAAATGAACTTGATTTGTACAGATAAACACAGTGAACACTTTATTAGCAAAACATATATTAATTGTTTTTATAAACAAAAGTTTCAAAGTATATTTCTACTTGGATTCCCAATCATATTTCTTACAACTGCATAAAAATGTTGATTTAACAATATAAAGTTTTACTGTACAGTTACTATGACAACATCTTCTACCTGAATATTATAATCTGTGATGCAAAATGGTATGAAGTGAAAATGCTATATTCCTGTATCAAATGTCAACTTCAGAGGAGAACTCAGATGTGGTTTCTATGGTTTCAGGGCTTGGAAAGGAGCATTCGGGTTATGAACTGTGCTAAATATTCATGCAAATATATATTCCAAGGCAAATGGTACCAGGATTTACATTCCTAGGATTTCCAAATATATGTCTCACATTTGTATCAAAATATGACCGACATTTGAATCAAACTTTTTCCCACGTTTGTTTCAAAATATGCCTAACATTTGTATCAAACTATATCCCACGATTGTATTAAAAATGCCCCACATTTGCATTAAACTATGTCCCATATTGTATCAAAAAATGCCCCACACTTGTATCAAAATATGTCACACAATATAATGTAATGAGGACAAATATGGAAATTTGATAATTGTCAAGTTCAATGTCTTTTTATTTATACCTAGCATTTCATTTCATGATTTTTGGTTAGTTTAATCAACTCTTTATAGTATTTGGTATCTGAATTTCAATAGACGTTTCCGATAAATCATGCCATCTTTTGATCCATCAGGGAAACTATAAATTATTGGCTAGATTGATACCATTGGTTGTAGGTAGCAAACTGCCCATTCAAAAATGGTATTAACTTTTTGCTAATTTTATAAAGTATAACCTATGACATCATCAATCTAGCCAATATATTGTGCTTTCTCTGATGGATCAAAAGATGGCACGATTTATCGGAAAGGTCTATTGTGCTGGCATTAGGACAGGCCAGAATGCTACCATGACTACTGACAATTCCGCAGCTCACTAATGCATGCAATTATAATTTTCTTCTTAAAAATGATTAATGAACCAAAAAATGATCTCTTACCCACTAAAAAATTAAGGCACATTTTCCAAGTTAATCAATATTTTTTGTTCCCTAAAATGACATAGATTTGCTCCATCGACAGTGTTAAAAGACCAAATGTATAAAGTTCTCGAGTATTGATTGAAGGTATTAAAAAAAAATATGAAATAAATCCTGGAAAATGTATGAAAAAGTTGAATCCATCAATCTGGAAACATTAATGTTACTAGGAAACATTTTTATAAAATTAAACATTGTTTGGATTTGAGACACAATGCCAAGTAACTCTTGACAGCAAGCATTGCAAGGCCTGAGTGAAGAGAATTTCCCGACATACTTAATAGATGTCTCTCATATAACAACAGAAAATGGAGGGCCATGAAGGTCTTTCATATTGAAAGCAATGTTAAAACAATATTCAATAAATGTAAAATACATGAGCACTAAGTGGCTCCCAAAGGTGAACTTGGATTTCACTTTGCTGCACTTAAAAAATTGCCATTTTGTCCCATGTGCCATCAAAGTTTACCATCGGGTGCCTCCACTATTAACTATATATAAGGAAAACAAACTATAAGCCGAAGAAATCAAACCATCCATTCCTAAAAATAATGATAATGAAATTGGGAAAACATATGATGCGTCTGCCTACTTTCTGTCGTCCGTTGCCATGGTTACTGTGACTGAATAACAATGGTAAAATGCTCCACCAAGTCCAGCTAGGTGGTGCTACTGCTGTCACTTCGGAGAAATCATCAGAGACGGAGGAGATGTCATCGGAACTGATATCTTTAGTCTCCTAAAATGATATTTTGAATAAGTTATCGGGACTGTAATATCAGAGATTCACTCTTTAAATGTACAAATTAATTAAAGGAAGATTGGTTTTCTTAGCTATATGCATATTTATGACAATCTGTGGTGGATCTGAACTCAGACCCTGACATAGACTAGAAATATGATATATGTAGATGCATATTAATATACAAATTATGATATATTATGATATATTTGGATGAGCTGACAAGGTAACTAGTGGTGGGACTCGTGTGAATTATCCTACTCGAGTAGAGGCTCTTGAACACTCGATTTAATCGCGATTAAAATGAATGATTTTGGAAAAAAGTTCAGAAAAACTTTCTTCGGAAAGTTACAAACTTTCACTTCCGGTAGCAATGTTTTCAAGTGTTCTCGGCTCAACCTACCTTGAATAACTCCAACATACCCATCAAATTATTCAAATAGAATAACTCAATACACTTTATATGTTCTTGTTTTGCATTGAAAAGTAAATAATTTAGCAATTTACGCTAATTGGTTTGACCTCGTTAAATATTGCATTGCACATGCGCAACCGGATGTAATCAATAAATAAAAACAAACACGAGAAAGCCTATCGTATTTGATTTATTATTTCAGTTAAGGTATCAAACTACAATGCTATATATTAAGCAGAGCTGGCGTTAACGCCGTTTTTTACCGTTTTTACGCACATTTGATCAAGTCTGACGCAGAATTGACAACTAATTGCGTTTCATTGACGCACTTTGATCCCAAGATAGACTAACGCTATTTCCCAGGAAGATTAGCAATACACAAGAAAAAACAATGTTTTGACCGATATCTTACCGATCAGATTTATTCTCCGGCTTTCAGACGAAAATCTCCGGCTTTCAATTAAGTTTAACATATCAAATGAAAGAATATAAATTGGCCTACCTTGTGAAGACAAAATCTAAGTATAATAGGCAGATAATCAGCAGTGTTTTAGAGAAACACTGAAATAATTATCTTACTGTAATCCGGCCACCATTTTGATTGACCTCTCAAACCAAAACGCATTGCTTTGAGATTAATGGGTCAGTAGCAAAAAACCTTTATCACTGTCCTGCCAACTTTCAATGGATACTATTATTAACAATTACACATAAACTTGAAAACAAACTGTTTAATTAATACAATTGATCTTCTTGGCATTATCTTACATCATAGTGAGGAAGCACAAAGGGCAACATTTGAAAACAAATAAAATATTACAAGTCAGAGTGTTGATCCTTATATTTCATTGAGATTGATAATGTGTAAGAAAGGAGTATTGAGTTTATTAATTTACACCAGAGTGAGGAGGAACAAGGGACAACATTGAAAAACAAAGTAATTAAGAAAAAAATTAATTACAATAAATTATGTATTGATCTGCTTTATTGAAATCAATTGCTCATGTACAGTTTGATACAAGTGGCAGGAAAATACTGATTTTATCTTATGGTTAAATGCTTTCAAAAAAAAAGTTCAAAAATCTGCATAATTTATCTTTAGATTATCCGAAAATGACGCTTTATTATCATAATTCAATTTGACCCACATTTTCCAAGTTTGACCCACTTTTTTGATTGAACTGGGTCATGTGACCCACAAAATGTTGAGGCTACCGCCAGTACTGTTAAGGAAGGCATCATTATTAAACATTGTACAGAAATGTTGTACATTGGATGTGTTTTTTTACGTAAATTGCGGTTGAAAGGTGGGTAAATCACATTTTCTTCATCATTTTTTTCATTTTTTTTTCAATTCGAGTCAGAATTTACCAATCGATGAATCGTATTTACAGGGTTTGGCGAGTAGTATTCGAGTCCACGAGTCAATCGTTGCTCCACTAAAGGTAACATATTAACACAAATTTACCCAGTTCCACTGACAAGACATGTAGAATTCTTATTTACTTGCTTTATAGATACAGTGAACCTTATAAAGTTAAAGAAAAACAATCAGATCATTTTCCAGATATTGCTGGATGCAGGTAAAATGAGACCATCAGATTTAATGTATTTTATTAGTCGAATGATAACTCATAAATGCATTACCCTTGAACAAATTTTTAGTGGCGTAGTGCTGAGATTGAGTTGAAAGTGCTGAAGCTGAGAATGCTATTTAAAGAGCCATGGTCAAGGAGACTTTTGAGGATTTGTTCTATCCAGTTCTAGACTATGTTGATCAATATTCACAATTAAATCAAAAGACAAAATAGAGTTTTAACTGTCAATATACAATTCTAAATAATTCCAATGATGATTAATGGATTATCAATCATAATTTACTTTTTCTCTTTTAAACTCCGTGAAAGAATGTAATATACAGTTTTCATAAATGTGTCGCCTTTTTATAAATTAGATATCTAACCAAATAAAAGATATTCTTAATTCTGAAAAGTTTATTTCTACTTCGCAGTTTTAGTTCATTAAATTCTTTCAGGTGGATATATATTCCAAAACTCAATATTAAAAAACAAAGTGCAAAGGATAGGTATCGATATGGCGAACTCAATCCAACACTGTATTCTCTTAAACCAATTAATGAAAACATTCTTTAAAAAAACGCGTTCTATTATGTAATGTTGACTGATTTGCAATAATTTAATGCAAAAATTATTTAGAAATATTTTATATTTGTTAACATTTTTTGTTTTTTAGTGCAATTGTTTTTGCTCCTTCCTACCAATTCTTGAGAAGGAAATAAAATGTCTTTCAGAACCTTGTTTGAACAAAATAGCATATACAACATTTTCTTAAACCTCTCAATATTATAGTTATACAAAGAAATTTTTGGTTGATTTTAAAAAAGTATTCAAAAAATTAAAACAAAACCCCTAAAATAGATAAAAATCAAGACAAGATAAACTTTTATTTCATTAACAAGATACTTTTTTTAAATCAACCAAAATTTCCTTGTACAATTACAATATTAAGAGACCTAAACATGTTGTGTTTATGTCGTTTTATTCATTCTGAACATATGATACCAAGAACAAAAGAAGTGTTTGATGTGTTTTCTAAAACAATGTAGAGAAAAGTCTATACATTTTTTTCAAATTACATTGTTACCATTCGAAAGAGGACCATTAAATTGACGATGTGTAATATTTTTAAGAGTGACTGATTTAAGAGAAACGCAAGTTCAAAAAGTTCACCATATCGATACCAATCCTTTCAATTTAGTTATAAGCATTAGAAAGCCAAAACCAATTGTGTCTCTCAATCTAAATGAAGCACAAAGTTCTACTTACAAAGCCAAGTAATTTTCCTGTAGCTTCATCTTTAGGGTCAGACGTAATACTATTTGAATTGTCGTTGTCAGTGCCTTTGGTTGGGGCATCTAGGTTTCTAGAACGTACACCACTCGTACCCTCGATGGGGTCATGTTTATTTGTCCCTTTAGGCATTCTATCAGCAGTTCACTTTTAAATTGATATCTGTTTCTTAGCCGTCTCCTTTACAAGACTTTAGTGTTCCTTGGTATCACTGTTTATCTTTTAGACCTGAAAAACACCAAAAAAGAAATGTATTCTAATTTGTACTCAAAATTTTGATTTAAGCCAAGATGATTTCCTTTTGGTGAAAAACAACGGCATTTATTTTTAACACACTCAATTTCTAAATTCCTCTCTGAAGATTATATCATGCTGATTTCCAATTTAGTGATAGAATCGATGCAGAGACATAACTTAATTAAGTGAACAGTCTGATATAGATTTCAAAGATAGATTAGTGAATTAGATTAATCCACAACTGATCTACTTTACAGCACATTAGGGTCAGTAATCGATTATATTGTAGCCTACTGTTATTGTATATATATATATTTCACCTGTTGTTTCATTTTAAAGTTTAGAGTTGAGACTTATAATTATTTCATTGAAACTACTGTTTTTCAGAAAAATAACAATGTAGACTTTCATATAAACAGGTTAAGAGAAAGCTGTACATGTATATCTGAACACCTCTCCAATACAAACATCTCTCAGTGTGAACATTTTTTCTGGCTTTCAATTTTAATTTCCCTCATTTACATAAAAGAAACCTTGAAATATGAACACCTGATAACACTTACAATCAGTCCCAATGGTATTTTTATAAGACAGGTTTTACTGTGTGTATAAATAAAAATAGATACTGATTCTAAATATGTATTTGGCACACTGTTTTAGGATTCTCTACATCTATTAACTCTTATCTGCCTATGAAGCCTCATCCTCCAAATACAGGCCTCCAGAACTCAGAACTCGTACCTCCTTCTTGAATTCTAGAGGCCTGTGTTCAGAGAATGATGAAGCCTTAATCTAATGCCAAGGAAAGAAATAAGAAAAGCTCCACATCTTCTACTGTACCAGTAAAATTAATATAATCTCGGGGTCATTTACAGAAACTTCATAAAGTTACAAATTCGTAAATCAATTGTTGTTACCATGGATATAATGATGTCACAGTTAGAGAACAATGGACTTTACGAATTCTTAACTTTATGAAGTTTCTGTTAATGGCCCCCTGGATGCCTTTCTTATTAGAACAATTTTCATGGTGAACACTTTTTTGGTCCCAATATTGTTATTTAAAATGTGCTTATCCAAACACTTTTGGCCAGTGTCAGTGGTGTTCGGATTAAACAGGTTTCACTGTACCGCAGATAACAAAAACATTCATTGGCAAGATTTAGCTTGGCTATTAAGCTTAATATGAGTTAATCCAACTGAGGAGCAAATAAAATTGAATGGTATTACTTATCCAGAAACAAGCATATGATTGATCCGTAATATAGCATAGTGAATAAAACAGATGATACCAGTCCCATAGGTAGGTATATCCTGATTCTTATCTCAAAAATCAATAAACCATGTTATTGTTTCAACCATCAGGAGTTCATGAATCAGTTTTCAGGTTTTAAAGTGGCAATATAATTGCAATAGTTTCCTTTATTTTCTTTATTCTGTATTAATTAATTGCATTCACTATTAAAACAGTGGTATTAATCAAGTATAATTTAGCAATCACCAGGAGTTTCATTAGGAGAGGAAAGTCTTGGTATCTAAACTTTATGTTCATTTGACTTCATTTCTGAGAAGAGAACAATATCATCTTAAAGTTTAGAACTAAACTTTGTCCTCATTGCTTAAGGGTATTTGGTATCATCAGTTAGCAAAGAATTCCTTCAAATTGAGGTTTCATTTATATTCCAAACCAAATGAGGCACCTGCTTACAATCTGACACCCCCATCAAATATAACCACTTGATGCATAAATTGTATTAGAGTGCTAAATAATTTCATGTTAGTTCCAAGTTGAATGTTGGTTTAAGTTTAACTTAAATTGGTTAAAAGCAATATGCCAAGCTGGAATATCAAAATCAAATCTATACTTCCTCCTCTGATCTAATGAAAAAACAAAATCATTGGAGTTATGATTGGCCAGTAAACTACCATCTTATATGAGATCAATCACTCTACAGATTGATGTTTCGCCATTCAAAAAGTTTAGCAGACTCAAATCTAAAACAGCTGCCTCAAAATTTAACTATCCCAAAAGCCCATTCAAATGGTATAACTAGATATTTTCATATGCCATAATCATTTCAACTGGTTCTCAAAATGTCCATCCATATTTTTTCATATTAATGATATCTCGGGGGATTTAGCCCAGGACAGCAACAAATGACTTCAAGACGTTATAAAGACATTCAATAGCTTTCATGGCTCCCATTGGAGCAATTCTGTGTCAAAATCATCATTTCATTTAAGACATTTTTGTTGAGGTTCTTCATCTGTTTGCTATCCTATTTGGGTTTGGGGCAATTCCCTTGCTAGTTCTTCAGAATTAGAGCAGCCGGGTACAGTGTACAGACCCTGGTAAATGTTTTAAACAAAAAATACCTTTAAGTAAATAAGTGAATTGTTACCAAAATATCAAAACATCAAAAATTGCCAACTTCTTGAAAACTAATAAACTTGGAAAATGGTTGTGACAAGTCAAAACAAGTCAAACCTCTAACTTTTTTCCAAATTTCATGAGTAAATGTCAAAAGCTATAATTCATGAATCTGTGATTTTTATAAAACACTGTTTATATACCTTATTATAGCAACTATCAAGCATTGAGTAAAAGTTCTATTCTGTCTGATTATATATCTTACATCTCTCCATTTGGTGCCACCTCTTACCTAACAATTACCTCATCTCCCCTGTGTTATACCGAGTTTGCCCCCTCTTTTTGCTGTTATATCCTTCTTAACAGAAATTTACTCCATTCCTCAGTTCATAAACAACCCACGGTCCTGTGTTCATACAGTGTTTTGTGCAGCCAATGATGATTGACTTTATATATGAGAAAGTTCCCTGAAAATGACAAGTCCTACTTTTTGTCAAATTTTATGGAGTAAACACCAAAAATTGTAATTTCAAGAGCTTTGAAATCTTCAGAGAACATATGTTGCATATACAGCAACTACTACAATTTATTTGAAAGTTCTACTTCAACAAAGTGTCTTGTATTTACAGAATATTTGACGTCAAAATCAGCAATTTCTCGGAAACCGGGCGAACTTGGGAAATGGCGATGATAGGTCAAATAGGTATTATGGATATGCATAAAATGAACGTGGATATGACTCGATCCGAATAGCAGTTTTAATTTGTGCGGCCATGTTGACGGACGGACGGACGGACCAACGGACCAACGGACGGACCAACGGACGGACCAACGGACAGACGCCTGGTCGATCCCATAGGCTCACTGTATGAGCCAAAAAGTCATATTTAACACTTTAACCATGTAGTCATGTGATCTTCGCTTTCATAAGAATCACTTAATCCAAATATCAGGCTATAGATCCTGATAACCACACAATTTCCTTGATTCAAAATAACAATGCTTACCTTGAAATACCTGATCTTAATTATACAGATTAGTTCATTATTTCATCCTTGAAAGCTTTAGACTAATGTTATTACAAGAGTTATAGAACCCCTTCCTTGTTATTCGCTCAACTAGACCCTCTATATGTATTGATTCCTCCTTTCCTGCTTTATTCAATAAGTTGCCAGATTAATAATGACATTAACTTTATCAATGATGATCCTGCTGTCTTTGAATGCATGTGGTAATAACAACAAGGACTTATATACATGTACGTATATGTATGTCTTTGTTCCTCTATTTTGGCACAATGATGTCACATTTATAACCAAAGGTCAAGATTTTTATGATTGCGTTCAACAGTTCAATTTCTGAATAAGCCAATGGAGATTCAATATGAAAATGCACATAGCTACTTGTCTTGGTTAAGTTGTGTACTATCACCAGATATCTGCCCCTGGACCCTTCAAAAAAGTTAAAGCCCTCGTGGAGTTTCCCTTTTATTTCTTTATTTTTAACAAAAAAATAGTAACACGGGTAATATATTCTCATAGATTTATTGAAACAGTTTGTATACCAGCATTTTGAATATCTTTTCCTTATTTTTGGTAAAAGCTTCATTAAAATGATGTGATATGTAGAGGAATCTCAAGTGGGAGTGCTGGGAATCCCCTCCACAATGACAGTTGATCAAAATATAGAACTGAATCAGGTTATTACCCTGATTCAGATGTGGACTTTGAAAATATGCACATATCATCATTTAAATTTACTATATATTACAAGTAGTCAATTAATAACATATTTAACACTTTAAAAGTTTTATTTGTCATGAACACAGGTATTTGTATTAAAAAGTATAAAAAATATGACTTTAAGATTATAACTGGTCATAAGAAAACAAGCCCCAATAACCAAAACAATTCAATATTATATAATATTAAATATACAAAAAACAGTGTGCCCTGTCTGATCATGTATTTACCTTAAATAACAAAAGCTGTTCTAATCATACAACTATGAGAGGAGTCTTTGTAAATATATACAATACAGAGATATATATACAATACAGAGGTATATATACAATACAGAGATATTCCAAACAGACTGCCTGATTACAATAAGCGACCAAACAGTGTTTACTTTCTATTACTGAATGCAATTAGTGGTCATTACCACCTGCTACATGTTATTAATAAATAAATACTTAACACATTATATCAGCTGCTTGCTAATGATACAGACAGACAGGAACTGAACCTGAATTGCCATATATTCACTTTACTTAACTATTCAGTTGTACTTGAAAATATGCAGCCAGTAAAAGATTAATGTAACATTTTCAAATCAGAATTCCCTGACTTTAAAGACTGATATTGCAAATCACATGCATTGTTTTCTATCAACAAAATTGAATTCAATGTCTACCCTTTACATTAATTTGACTTCACTTCTTAAAAGAGAGCTCCGTCTTCACTCTTTCAATTTACAATAAATCTCTGATCTGATCTCACCGAGCCAATCAAAGATCGTTGTCAAAATATGGACAACTTTCTATATGGTCATTTCCTCTGACATCACCACATATAGTTAATAATGAGGACGTATTTAACATATGTTCCTTCCACTTCACTGATTGGTTGAGAAAGGGTTAGCGTGGTAGATTTGAAATGATTAATTACACGGTCTGTCACAGGCACCAATCTTTGGGGTGGGGCTGCTAAACTGTAATATTGTCTATACTAGGCAGAGGGTAGTTTATAACTAGACTCTGTGCGCAGGGTATTCAATGTCCAAATGTGTGACAGGTTTTTATAAACATACTTGCAACTCTTCTATCCCTTCAAGTCACACATGGAGTCCATTTAACTACTTCTATCACTAACTTAACCACCCTTTACTAGTTCTATAAACACATGAGTATTGAATATGCTAGTTAGAGATGTCTAGGTTTTGTAAACCTGTTGGGAATTACAAGAAATCAATTAACGATTTGGAAGTGTATTAGTTCCATTTACAGAGAATGAAAAAACATAATTTCCTGGTTTAATAGCTGTTGCATTTGAAGGTGGCCATTGCAAATATGTTTATATAAGAATATGATATGTCTGTTGTCATAGCAAACTTAGAAATGAACTCTGTAGGATCACAACCCCATGGTGATCAGTAGAGATTTTCATCTTTTATATTTTCTCAGTGTTTCATTTCATTCTCCAATAACTGCTTTAAAACATAATTTTAGAGCTGTTTTTTATCATCTAATACGCATTGAGCAAATTCCATTCCCAAGTTAGGCATTTAATTTATCTAATATATAATCAAAGTGTCTTAATCTCCAGAAGACTGTTAAGTTCAAGGTTCAGATACAAGTCCAAAATTCTCATATTCAAAATTCCAATATAAGAACTCTACAGTCCCTGTATAAGAAGTCTTTATTCCATAATAACATGTTTTCCCTGGGAAAATAACAGGGAATAAAAGTGTTATTTGAAAAATCCCGTATCAGATCCCGTATCAGCCAAAATCCCGTATCAGATCCCGTATTGGATCCCGTATCAGCAAAAATCCCGTATCAGATCCCGTATCAGAAATATTCCCGGTAATTTCTCTTGAGTTTTACGCTTTTCGTCTAGCACATCTCTACAGGAAGTAAAAAAATCGTTTGGAAAATTGAAATTATTGAAATTATTATCATGATTATATCATATTATATCCTCATTATTATCATAATCATTATTATGAACTGATGGAATGAATAAAACTAATTAAAACAGTGAATCCTTCAATTATTCAGCATTGACATCTAGCTGTCAATAGAGTCACGCAAAAAACTTGTTTGAATTGAAATATGACATGTTGATCATGAATGATCCAGCATGATTTATTAATATAAACACAAATTATCCTCATGAGGTCAAGAGTGGCAATGGTTTTCCAATATTTCTAGAAACAGCTTGATACCATCTTATACAGAAGAGATCCCAATAAACTACCACATCAGTCATGCTGTATGAAGAATAAGAGCATAAAAAGAGTAGAAATAATAATGCATGTAGTTAACATTTGAAGCTGTAAGAAGAACGCAAAAATATGAGATTTCAATCTTCTAGAAGTGCGATTACAATTGAATACTAGGCGCATTGTGTAAAAGGAGCAGGCTTAATAATACCATTAATTCAAGGAGAAATTAATGGCATTAGAAAAAATGCTGGTACTGAAAACCTATCAATATTCTATATTAATATTCCAAGCTATCTGACAAAATATACAGACTCAGAGCACTGGTTCAATGAGATTTAGATCGTATGGCAATAACTTAAGGCATTCCAAAACATCAGTATTGATTATTGGCTTCAACGTAATATTTAATGGAATTGAATCTGAGCACAGAAAATAAGGTCACGTCCTGATGGGGGCGTGCCATTTTATCATTCTGACAGCTAGAATACTGAACAATGTTAAATCCTTTTTCTGAATGTTACTGGTAATTATCAATGCAATCACTGTCCTCATGAGGATTATATGCATAATTTTTGTTTTCTACATTTTTTTCAAAATTCTGCAGACAAACTGGGAAGGATTTCCTTAATGAGATTATTTAATGAGATTTTCTGATACCAGGTCTCTCCCTAGGCTTTTAGACTGTGGTCGCAAGATAGACGTCGGCTATGCTGGAGATGTTTCCCCCACACCCTAAATATTTTCTGGTGAGAGCCATAGATACTAATACAGGGTGTCCCGAAAGTATGGGGCCCTTCCTAGCCAAAAAAAGTAAAAAGTTACAGGCATTTCAAAACTTAGTATTTGGCTAAAAATATAGTTCATTTCAGTAAAAATGCTCATGAACTAAATTCCGAACCAAGAGGAACTGGCGCAGATTGCCTCAAATGCTGAAATCACTCGTCAAAATAGATCGGTAAATAAAAATGAATAACAACTGAAGTTAGAGTGGTTTATTTAGTTCGATGTCAGGATATTTCAAGTAAGTATTGATTATATAGACGCTACAATGATGGTGTTTTGTTCTAGACACGCGGGGCAAGTTGTTTTAGCTCATTTTCGCCTCAAACAAAATAGTAGATTGAACACAATTTTACTTCTGGGCTTAGCCACGACAGTTTGCTATCGGCAACAGAAATAACACTGTCATTATCGACAATGGAATCTCACTGTCGTTCAGGCACTAGCATATATGCATAGTAAGAGGTTACATTGCTCAATTTGTTAAATAAAGGAGTCCTGAAGGGAACCTTATAATATTTTTGTTTCTCTTAGTGATGGAATCCAAAAGTCAACAGTTGTGGAATAATGAAGTTAGTTTAAAGCAATATATTGGGCACATTTTCTGAAACATTCAAAATATTCTGTTCAATGATTGAAGGTTAAGTGCATGTTCGGAATTTTGCTGCAACCCTCAATTGAGTCACTCCCCCACAATGTCTAAATCTCTCTAAAACTAATTTTCTCATCTTTTATACATTTTACAAAACAAATCTTCTTACAATACAAGTCTTTTCTAGACACATACAGTTGGGGACATAAGTAAATGACAGGTGGATTTGCTGAAGTGAGGATTTCCCATGTTAAAAATAAGAAAATTTACAAGAGGCCATACATCAGTGGATGAGATTATACAAAATGTAAAATATACAAATTTTAAGGGATATATATCTAGACAATATTGGAAATTATGGGCTTTCAGACCACCATAATTAGGAAATGGTGATCGAAAATCGACCTGTCATTTATTTTTGTCCCCAACTGTAAGTGCACTCTTTGTGCAAAACTGGAAGATGTACACAATGTGGGGAAAAATAACATGTGGCTCAATTGAGGAATGCAGAAAAATTCCGAACATGCACCCTAGCCTTAAAGCAGAACTCAGTTATCTTAGTTCAAAAAATTCTAAAGTCAACATGTTTTTTTCATTTCCTGTTTGGTCTTGGTGTAAATTTCTGATAACTACCCCAAGACCTTAAATACCTGTTTTAGCAGTCAGTAAAGATGAATTTATTGTCACAGACATCATTCTCATTTGGTCATGATCAACACAAAATGCGCTCATTTGGAATACGTCTAGGTTCAAACAACGATATGAGAATGGGAAATTTGGACAATCATTTATAATAGGTGCAGGGGTGGATCTGGGAACCAACAGGAGGGGGGGGGGCAAACTTCCGGTCTGAGAATTTAGAAATTTTGAGGCCCACTTTCTTCAAAATTTGGCCTTATATTTAAAAATAAGGCCTTAGAAGGCCCGTTTATGACCAAAAAGGCCCACTTTTTGAGGCCTTAATTGGCTCAAAATTTTTTAAAGGCCAAATTTTTTTTTCTGGGCCCAGACGAGGTCCACCTGTGAGGTGATAGCCTAGAGCATAATTCTAAAGTCAATTTATATCCCTGCCAGATTTAACTTTAAATTTGCATTCAATTGCTTTACTTTCTATTGTTTTGCATCTTCAAATGATAATGACATGCAACCCTTAAAGCGTTCCATTGTGCAACCGATGTCGCAACGCAGACGCAACGTGAATATTTTAGACCAACTAATGAGGTCTCTGGTTTACAAGGGATCTATGGACGATATGATTATGGCTTACAATGAAAAAGCGTAGGCATATAGATGTGACACCAGTTTTAAAGTGCAAGTTATAAGAAAACATTGGAAAATGAAATAAGACATGAGAAAGGTAAGCGATTTGTGTCAAAATACATGTAAGTTGAAGAAAGGGTGATTTTTAGCAAATTAATTTTTTTGAAAAACATCGATGTTTTGTTTCAGACATCGATGCATCGCCAGAATCAGCTTTGGCGATGTATATCGCCATGTATCGATTAATCGCGACAACACTACTCAAGACTCAGACTTACAAATGAATGTTTACAGTAACAAAGTTGAGAAATGAAAATAAATGGCGAGTTTTCGTTCGTGTTTGACAACATTTTTCACATTTTTCTATACTTCAAATCAGTATAAAATTATGAATTTATGTTGGTAAGATAGTACTTATGTATATGTCATATACTTTATCAATAAGTAGGACTTTGGAACTTATTAATCATTGAATAACCCGTACTTACATATTGGAAAACAACTCCTCCATCCATCTTGTGACAAATTTTAGACCAATAAGGTTGCTTATATTTGATGACGTATGCAGTAGTAGTGTACACTAATCTTAGTGACGATTACACATGTACAAATATTTTTCTAACTTTCAAAGTTTTCTAAATTTAGTCAATTGTTTTCTGAAGAGGGCAATAATGTGATATAATTTTGCAATTATTGTAATGAAACACATGCGATGCAAATCTTCTAAAAGAATCATTGGTGAACAATGAGTGACAGAGGATTGAGGACACCAGATAAATTGAGGGTAAATTTTGTTTTTATTTTTTCAATTTCTTTCACTTGACAACATGATGCTTTATCTGATTGTTACATCATCTAGCCTGTACACTTGTTTCCACTGTTCTATTTTATTTTCCATTTTTATATTACGTTATGTGTTTGTTGTTGTTTTTGCTTACTCTACCGACTGTCAAACTGCGTTTTCCTAAAGTGAAACATTATGAACTTGTGAGCCCCCTTATGACTAAACTGTGTGTTAGTACAAGAGTAAATCAACATTTTAATAGCCAATGAAACCATATTAGGTATCCCAAGATCTCGTAACTTTTGAAAGTAAACATTTGTTGCAAAACTTACTCGAGTCTCTAGCCAATACTTGGCTAGAGGTGATTTCATCTGGAATAATGTGAACTCCATTTGAAAAAAGCTGGTCGCCATTTCATAAATTTATTGAATATTTTAAAAATCGCCAGATAAATAATTCATTAATTAAAACGGAACTGGCTCGGCTCATTGATGAGATATAACATGATTTCATCAGGATTTAGTCTAAAATTAAAACAAGAAAAATGGCGATGTTCGAAAACTGGACGAAATATCGTTTACGTCTGACATTAGAAACTGGCTGTAAATTCTAAGTTAGCGATCCAGAAGATGTGAACTAATACACTGATCAGTTTATGTGTGTTTTGGAATTTTTGGTGAGGTAATAAGACCAAAACTCGCAATTCAAATTGTGATGTGGAAAAATGGCGGACATATGATTTCAAATTTTATGATTACGACATGACCAGTTGTTCATGTAGGAATTTATCTTTAATGGAAGTCCACGATACAGTGGCTTTAGAAGAAGGTAATGCAAAACAACTCGCTATAGCTAATGCACATGTAATAGACAATGGGCATGTGCAATAGTGTTCCAAATGGTAGTGAAAACTGGTGCTGGTATAACCACAATTCAATACCTTACTGTTACCGAATACCATGGTTTTGGGTCTACGTTCGCAAATTACGTACATTCGTACATTTCTGTGACTGAGTTTAGATTTTGCCAAAGTTTTTGGTGGTGAATTTGGTCACTTTCATACAAACGCAGTTTATAGTCATAATTTATCAATGTCTTACCTGATTGTCGATAATTCCTGCATTGAATTAAGACATCTACAGCCAGCTATTTAACGTAGTCATTCCTCAAATTGAAAAAAATGAAGAATATTTTCATTTTTTGACAAGTTCTTCCGCCTGCCAGGTGGCGCCCCTAACTCTTCAAAAAGAGACAAAAACAGTTGTTCTTGTACTTTTCTTCTTTTTTTCGATGTTAAACACTTAATCTTGCGATTTCTGGTAAGTTTAATTGATTGTTTAGATATTCCGGTATTGGAATTTCAGTGCCGACATTGTCACATTAGGCCAGAATGCCAACCGGTACTTCTGGCAATACCGCAGATCACTATGTGCAATGAATTAAAAATGCTGTTGGGCAATTTTAAATTTCTCTGGAAATTACTCATCATATACCACACTTCGGCACAAATTGCTATTAATAGGGTAGGATACAGGCTTTTATCTTTTGTTTAACTGTTTGTTTTTTGAAAATTTTAAAAATAAATCGAAATGTCCAGTGGACAAGATCTTAATCCTAGATGCCTGACCCCAGAAATGTAAATCTTAGAGTCGGGCAATCTGCGCGAAGTTTGGTTTGGTTTTTACTTGGTTACTTCATTCGGTTTAGGTTTGTACACCAAACGTCCACAAATTAGAGGCAAGTTCGTATTCTGCCATTACACTTCTGTTGGATGTATACTTTTTGTTTTTATGCCAAACAAAAATATTCCCGCATATACAGTTAGGAACATAAATTCTATCACCATTTCCTAACCATGGTCGTCTGAAAGCCCATAGTTTCCAATATTGTCTTGATACATATCCCCTAAAATTTGTATATTTTACATTTTGTATAATCTCATCAACTGATGTATGGCCTCTTGAAAATTCTCTTATTTTTAACATGGGAAATCCTCACTTCAGCAAATCCACCTGTTACTTATTAATGTTCCAAACTTTATGTGTATTATGGGTAGAGACTGCTGTGAATTGATGAGCATACACATCTATTTTAAATTATAAGTTCTAATTAAGTTATTGATTGTGCATGCGTTATTGAAACAATTAAATTGCTGGATATAATGCCCATGCACGAAAAACAGAACCTAAAAATGGAACCTCACGCAGATTGCCCCTTGTGAAATTTTAGCCCATGGTCGAAATAACCTGATACGTGAAGTAGCCCCATATGTCCAAGTTTGATGCATGAAATTCCCCAGTAATTGGTCGTTTGTCTTGACCAAATGACACACCTCTATTATGTTCAGAACCAGTAATCCACTATGATCTCATCATCATCATTTTTACATCAAAACTAGATCAGTTTTCTTTTATAATTCAGCTTTGAGCTTCATGTTCTGTCTTGTTTAAATGACCTCATGCTAGAACTGTAAGTTTGTGCATTGATAGATCTACATGTATCTATAATCATACAAAGAATTTAAGAAGGCTGATAAGGGATTTTATACATCCTGTATGCCACATTTGCTTGTAAATGTTGCCTTTGGTCACTTTATGTAGTTTATTAATAGTATACCACTTGATGCTTTTCACTTATACTGTATTATTACATATGCAGGCTGGACTTTTATCTCCAAGTGCCCATCTTCGTTCAACAACTCCAAACTCAGAGACTTCAGGAAAATCAAATGTTTCAGTGAGACCATGGACAGCTCAGCCAAGTCGGATATCAGGAAATGCCACGAGTAAAGATGCTTTGAGAAGTAAAAGTGGGGTTGATCATAGCAGGCACAGAGACAGTGATGATTTGGCTTTGCGTTCTGTACAGTTGTCAAACATACTTCAAGATTCACGTTCTTGGGCAGTGACTGAATTGCCTGAAGATCTGAGCAATGAGGAACCAGAACCCATCAAAGAACTCCCATGTAAGAATAACACAATTAATATTAAAAATATATTCAAAAACAAAGGAAAATATAAGTAGCGAACAAATGTTGAGTTCCACCTATGACCCACTCCTAGATCTCTCTTTTTCTGATCTTTTACATGAGTATATGAGATAAAAAAATCTGTGCATTTGACTTGAACATTGGTGTTTCTACATTTGTCTTTGCATATATATTGTGGGACATATTTAAATTCATATGCGGGGGCATGTTTGAAACAAATGTGGTGCATATTTCATGACTAACTGCCGCAATATCTTTTTGTGAGATAATTCACTTTAATTATTTCTATTTAATGTATAGTTGCTAGAAAAAAGACTCCACTTCCATTAAACCCTCCTCAGAAGAATTCCTTTAAGAAGACAGATGCCTTTGAAGCTTGGGTGAGAGGACCAGAGGAGAATTCTGATGAATATGACACAGACCTGGAAGATGATTTTCCACCAGGTATTTATTGTAAAAGAACATATCAACTCAGCTGCAATAGAATTCAACATAAAATAACAACTATACTCCTGAATTAAATATCTGAAACGCCCCTTCTCACATAGAAGGTGGCTGTGTAGGGTTGGAGTCTAAGGACTGATGGACACATGACGTAAAGTACTGCCATCCAAAGAGTGTAGCATTAATTAGATGTAAAACACAGATAATCCTTGTAATGTTCAGAATGTCATTGTAGTCATGCAAACTATGATGTGTTTTATGAATGTTAACAAGAATGAGTTATGAATAAAGAATGAAGATTATCCTCATAAGGCCCAGAGTGACAATTGGTTTTCCAATATTTCACATAACATGCACATGTATAATGCTATCACAGGGTATAGCCACATGGTGAGCCAATATATTCCACCAATCCTTTCAGCTGTCTACAGTTTTCTGATGTACATATTCTTTTTTGTCACTGTGTGAGGCATCAAATGGTGTCATTTTTGTTTTCATAACCTACGCACTGTTTTTCAAAATACATGTATCTTATTTGGATATTTGCAGAGGAAGTTATTATCAATGACCCAACTGGTGCGAATGTTTACAAAAAACAATGTGATAAAGCAGGTTTGTTAAATATAATATTTATAGCACATTGCAGGAGTGGTCCTTGAAATAAAGAGTGAGGGGAGACTGCAGGGCACAAGAGATTTATACTTCCTGGTTATTTCTATCATGTAATGTTCTAATTGACTGGGGGTTTGATAAAATATGTTTTGTCGATAGGATTTGCTACTCCCTCCAGGGGGTTACTGTTCTACTTCAATCATAAGCACAAGTTAAATTACCTAATTTTAGAATTTAGCAATAATACTGTAGTATCCTTAATGAAGGTGCATAATGATATTTAAAACACCATTAAAAGTTGATTTTACATCAATTTCTATGAGCATAGAAAAAGTATTTCCTAGCTTCCATTGGGTTCCCACTTTTATACTCCAAATTACACATTTTTAATTATAATTTATAGGATAAATTAATTATTAATAACTGATTATCAAAAATGTCTAATTTTGGGAAGGATTCAGATTTTTTACTAAGTAATATCAAAAATGTCACACAATTTATTTTTAATGTAAAAGTTGTTTAGTCTCAGACAAAATAAACCACCCCATGTGATGGCCAGGTGTGGTCAGTCTCTGGAAGCCAGTTCTGATCCAAAACAAATTTATTGGAAACAATGCAGACATCATACGCTCTTTTCTATTTTAACTTTTCACCACATTTTCTTGAAGCCTTTGAAAAATATAATCGTACTGGTGAAAACAGTTATTATTTCTAGTAAATTCATCTTTGCATTGGTTTATTTTTAACAAATATTATAGAAATATTTCATTCTATTGAGAGGAATACCTCTTTTAAAAGTGGCATATTAAATATTTGTTCTTTAATTATATTACTGCAAAGCTCAATCTTCTTATTAATTCATATGATTTGACATTGATAAATACATTTATGTTAGTAAAAATCTCTGTTATGTGCCATAGTTATAATCTTGATACAACTGTATACATGAAATAAACTTGATACTTGATATTTCTTTAATTTAGGTGTTTTACCATCTACATACCTGATGCGTAACCTTAAGGAACCACAGCTGAGGCTAAACTACCTTTATCTCAAAGGACAGGGTGCCAAAGCACTGGCTGATGGACTCAAGGTACATTTGGGGATTCATCATTTGAGGTCTTGGTTAGGGGAATATGTTCTACTTTATACATATATTTACATGTACAAAGAATTAAAAGCACTCTATATGATATCAAATGGTCTTGTCTTTACAAAAGATTATTTCAATATGGGACAGCATCTTTTCCAATCAATAGAGGTTGGGCCATGCAGCCGAAGGTAAGCCATACAACCGAAGGTAAGCCTTACAACCAAATTTTGTAGATTCAATCTGACGGAGAATGCCGAGCCTCTATTTTTGACCAATTAGAGACGTCCTCTTCACATTCGTGGTACCCTCGGCCAACTTCGTTTGCAAAGAAAAGCTTCGGCAATCTTCGGCAATCTCCGGCTTTTCTTGAGGTATCTTCGGTTGATTGCCAAAAGTCGACACCCATTTCAATATTATTATTACTATTTACTAGTTCATTACTACAGCCACTACATGCACATAGTAATACCAGTTGATTGAAAGCCCATGATACTACATAACATTTTTCTTTTTCATTCTAAAATTGACTATTGTTACAATTAATTGAAAATTATAAGAAATGAAATAGAGTATTTGTGGTACAATTTATTAATTGACCTAGTGCAGTAGTGTCTAGTATGTTTTCTAGAAAAATACAGTGACTGAGGCACTAGATTTGACCGACAACTACTTGGGAGGTTCTGGAGCCATGTACCTCTGTAATATGATGAGAGACAACCAGTTCATAGTCAACTTAGTAAGTATACCTGTCCTGACCACCCTCCCTCTGCATCAAATCATGTTTTGTCCTTCACTACTTTTCCTAAATAATGCCATTTATAAGGCAACCATTCATATTGGACCTATAGAACAATAAATGTATAAATAGAAAACATATCTAGATTTTATATAGCATTCGCTTTGTTCCTGTTGTTTTTCAGAATTTGTCTGAGAATTTTCTTCGATCTGAAGGTGCCAATGCTATAGCACAAATGCTGGAAACAAACACAACTTTGAAGACGCTAGTGTTAAGATGTAAGTGAAGAGATTTTAAGGTGGTTAAGCTACTTGTTCTCAAGAGAACTTGTACACAAACTTGTAGAATTATGGTCCTCTAAGGATTAGTACACATAATAGTACACATTCACATCATGTTCTCTTACAAATTAGTAGCTAAACCCCCTGGTGTTAAGAAAAAGATATTCAGTAATGGTGTCCAGTTATCAACAGTTGAGGAGTAACAAATCACACGCATGCTTAGACCTCAGCTATTAGACTTCTGTTTTGTACGGGGGACAATTCTTATGATTTACATCATCCATGAGTCCATCTGAATATTTTCAGCCAACCATTTAAGTGATGGAGATGCCAAATGTCTTGCCGAGGGTCTAAAGAACAACACATCTTTAGAGTGCCTTGACCTCAGCTATAATGACTTCTGTGATGTAGGGGGGCAGTACCTGGGAGCTGGACTCGTAAGATTTTCATTCTCATTTGATTGAATATTCAAGTCTGTTATGTTTGAATCTTGAATTTGTTTCTTAAGTTGCCAAACTTATGGAGGAGAGTGTTTGTCTTAATGTTAAAGTCAATTTTGAGGCAGAATAATGTGGTCAGTCTGAGGACCATGTGATAGAATTGATATGTTCATTTACCCGTAACATGTAATTTAATAGGGTAGGACATTCATGTGATTATCTCACTGATTGTAGTTTATGAGGGATATAAAAAACCTGATCATCCATTCATCCATCCATCCAAATGATAACACAAATACAGGTTGGCAGATTTTGTTCAAATTATAGAGGCTGTCTGATACCTTCTGGACATTGGACCTGAGCTGGAGTCTGGAGAATGAATGTTGATGTTCCACTTTATAGATATACTGTATTGGTCTATATGTTTTCAGGCAGTAAATGAAGGCCTTATAGGAATAGACCTGTAGATGTTCCACTTTATAGGTTTACTGTATTGGTCTATATGTTTTCAGGCAGTGAATGAAGGCCTTATAGGAATAGACCTGTAGATGTTCCACTTTATAGGTTTACTGTATTGGTCTATATGTTTTCAGGCAGTGAATGAAGGCCTTATAGGAGTAGACCTGTAGATGTTCCACTTAACAAGTTTACTGTATTGGTCTATATGATTTCAGGCAGTAAATGAAGGCCTTATAGGAATAGACCTGTAGATGTTCCACTTTATAGGTTTACTGTATTGGTCTATATGTTTTCAGGCAGTGAATGAAGGCCTTATAGGAATAGACCTGTAGATGTTCCACTTTATAGGTTTACTGTATTGGTCTATATGTTTTCAGGCAGTGAATGAAGGCCTTATAGGAATAGACCTGTAGATGTTCCACTTTATAGGTTTACTGTATTGGTCTATATGTTTTCAGGCAGTGAATGAAGGCCTTATAGGAATAGACCTGTAGATGTTCCACTTTATAGGTTTACTGTATTGGTCTATATGTTTTCAGGCAGTGAATGAAGGCCTTATAGGAATAGACCTGTAGATGTTCCACTTTATAGGTTTACTGTATTGGTCTATATGTTTTCAGGCAGTGAATGAAGGCCTTATAGGAATAGACCTGTAGATGTTCCACTTTATAGGTTTACTGTATTGGTCTATATGTTTTCAGGCAGTGAATGAAGGCCTTATAGAGATAGACCTGAGCTGGAACTCAATCAGAGAGAAAGGTGCAGTAGCAGTTGGAAAAGCTCTCAGTGTGAGGAACCATATTAATTTTTGACCATTTTATATAAAATTCGTGGAGGATAAGGGAAGGCATCCTATTATCAACAGTCATGAAAAAATGAAATTAATTTTGTTATGGTTTAACTCTCATCACGAAATTTAAAAATGTTGATTTGTCTTTAATTTTAATATAAAAAAATCAGCACTCTTTGCTGACGAAACCATCATTTCCCCCCACCCCCCCCCCCCCCGCCCTAATAAAATTAGCTTCATTATTCCGTAATACTGTTGATAATTGAACACCATCCCTAAGGCAATTTCAATAAATTCTGCCTTCCTGCATATTTGAACAGTTTTACTTCATCTAAAAATCTATAAAAAAAACAGGAGCTCTGAACACATCACAATCATCTCTGAAGGCATCACAAATTTCTAGACACAAAAAAGGCATCACAGATTTTAAATTTGACACAAAAGATTGATACTAAGCAAGACATTGATAATAGTATTGTCCCAATGTGCCATAATCATACATCAGCAATTTTCAATCATGAACATCGAGGCACATCGTGGTGTACATCAAGAAAAGTCTGACCAAACTTACCACCATTATAAAAGAAATGAACTTCTGAATGCAGCAAATAAATAATAGTATGATACTTCCGGTTGGTCATGTGCGTAAATAAATGCTTCATTTCAATAACTTAAAACTTTTTTAAAGTGAAAGCATATCAGAGAATATTGGAAGATGAACTAAAGGGTGAAAAAGTATGGCATTTGCATGAAAACGAGATAGGAAAAGGGGATTTTAGAAGATTTACTTTTTTGTAAAAACATTGATGTTTCAGACATCGATGCATTGCCAGAATCACATTTGGCGAAGAAATCGCGATGTATCGATTAATCTGCCAAGTCCATTATGAGTAGCTGGAGATTCCAATGGTGATGCTATGACTTAATTGGTTATAAATGATTTACTTACAGACCAATGGGACTTTAGAAATTTTAGATTTATCGTGGAATGGGTTTGGTGTGAAAGGTGCCATACATCTTATGAGGGCTTTAAAAGTCAACAACAAACTTAGAGTTTTAGATTTAAGGTTAGTACATAATGTTTGAAGATTCTTGCAACATGTTGCACTTTCTATCCTTTCCATGTCTGTCATTTGTGATATTAGATTAAAAGTGTAACTTGACTTTGATCTGTAGACTACTACTTATTAGGTTGTTTATATAGGAAACCACAAATGTAAGAGTATTCACAATATAAGAGTATTCCCAAAATGTTCAAAAACAATAATAATCTATTGTTAAAACTCTTATGTAAAATCCTAAAAATTTGGTCATGTCTATGCTTTTGTATACAAGTATAAAGTGAAAAATCAAAAAGCTAAATAAAACCTTGTTTGCATGTTACACATTCCAGTAATAACAGAATCAACAATGAAGGTGCCAAGAAGTTAGGATTGGGAGTGGCCAAAAATATGTCAGTTGAAACATTACTGGTGAGATTTACAATTATAATGTACTCCATAATCATACAGATATTAGTACCAACAAAAAGTTCTAAAAAGCAAGCCGAATGTCCTGTTTAAGAACATCTATTCTTACTATTGAAAATGGAGTCTAGCAACATTTTACATTTTATTTATTTCTTGCTCCTTCAATACTACATTTTCTTGTTTTAAATATACGGTACCACTTTTTTTCCCAAATTTTATTTATCTGTGTAAAATATAGATTCTGTGTTTGTGAATGTTCCAGCTTGGCATGAATCCTATAGGAGAGGAGGGGATGGAGGCACTGCTTAAAGGCATCAACAAAAATGAGAAACTCAAACTTGTGGGAATTGAGGTAATAATCTTACTATATGACATTTATTGAAAGGTAACAGTATTTGTAATTGAATAAAAAGCATTTTTTGATTATCAATGTGTGATATGTATCATGTGATATAATTTATGTGCTTTAGCTCTGTTTTAACCCGTAACTCATTTTTTGTTTGACCGTTAACCTGTTTTATATTTGATTCTAGGGATGTGTTGGGTGTAAGGTAAATGTGTGATGCTTTTAGTTTTGCTCTATGGGGCATCATAGAATATTGTGCTGATATTCAATAAATGGGACCAATATTCAATAAATGAGACGCATATCAAATCAATTTTACCCATTTCCAATAAATGGCACCCATATTCAATAAATATGAGACCCATTTTCAATAAATTACTCATATTCAATGATTGGTGTCCATATTCAGTAAATGGCACCCATATTATTGGCCATGGTCCATTCTATGATAACCCATTGTCGTAATCATCAGTCAATACTCAACACAGGATGGTGTGATTAGTTCTAGAAAGTTCATTAAAATTTAGCTTATCAAAATTTAGCTTATTACAAATTTATCTTTCATATACATTTTGACATACCTGGTATTCCATTTATACCATATCTTGTATTCTACATCATAGTCAGCCATAGAAGGAGCACAAGTTACTCACTTGAAGATCAATTGTTAGATGATATTAACTATTATGTGTACAGGGTGGGCTAATTTGAAATAGTCGCATTAAATAAAAATTCATTATATTTTCATCTGAGACAAATGGCAGGTGACATTTTGCATGTTAATGCCTTGTATCATTTTGTCCCACCCTGCAAGTAGGACTATTTGAACACTATTTTATAATGCATATAACGAACCAGACCTCATCATCTTGTTAATATATTAGTATCCACATTTAGGTGATCATACCACAGAGTTTGTCAGTACATATAGTACAAAGGCCCTGGTCTGAGCTATGAAACCATCAACTCATGGAATCATGATGCTAGTACCCACATGCAATATTGGGTTAGAAAATCACTTTCCAAATCATCAGAACACCATATTGTTATTGTTTTATGTTTAATTGTCCAGGATTATATGACATGGTTTTGGTAAGTAGAAATGTTATAATAACAATATTGCATCCTGAAATAGAAATTGCATGCAAAATTCTCCACTTTTCAATCAAGCACACCCATAATTCCATCCATTTATTTATAAGATAATAAAGTAGTAATATCAATACAGCAAAACATGTCTAATGTGAATCCTGCTGGGATTAGGTTAATCCTTTTAGGGTTAAACTATTCAGTGGTCACATTGAAAGATTGAAAGATTTTATAGGATTTCATTAGAATGTAAAAAGTGTTCTTATGTGCTCTGATGTTTACCCCAGACAGGTGTTCAGTGATCACAAACACATGTTTTACAGTAGAGTTACCAGGAATGGTGAAGTGCAACATTCTTTTGGTCTTGCAATAAGGCCCTGTCTTACCCCCTCCCACATTCTCCCCAATGCCAATAATAGATAATTGGGAGGGCATCGGGAGGTGGTGGCAGAGGCTTAGTGGAAGACTAATATACTTTTTTGTAAGGTCTTCCTCCGAGAGTATGATATGGTGCGAGTGAACATCATTTCTTTCTATCTTATTCCCATTCAGAAATTCAGACCCCTGTTTTATAGTATTGAGGTCTCTGATTGACTTAGAGATACTGCCATGGCTATATGGCCTTTAAGTTAAGTTTGAGATTTCATATATAGACTGATATACAAGTACAACAAGGTGGAAAATGTTCATGTTATTTAATGATTTACTTTTTCCTAGGGATACGGTCTTTGTAGCCCTCTACTGATTTTGTACCCCAATTACTTGAATATTTGTTACTATTTGCCTATGCACCATTATGAATTTATAATTATGTACCTCTTTACTATATAAATTCCATGAAAAGTCAAGTCCCTCTAATAACACAGTATATGCTTTACTATTTATAAATATGTGTACCATATTACTATTTATAAAACCATAATATGTGCACTGCTTTACTATTTATAGATATGTGCACCATATTACTATTTATAAAACATAATATGTGCACTGCTTTACTATTTATAGATATGTGCACCATATTACTATTTATTAAAACACAATATGTGCACTGCTTTACTATTTATAGATATGTGCACCATATTACTATTTATTAAAACACAATATGTGCAATGCTTTACTATTTATAAATATGTGCTCCATATTACTATTTATAAAGCACAATATGTGTACTCCTTTACTATTCATAAATATGTGCACCATATTACTGTTTATAAAAGCACAATATGTGCACTGCTTTACTATTTATGAATATGTGCACCATATTACTATTTGTATAAAAACACAGTATGTTCACTCTTTACTATTTATAAATATGAAAAACACAATATGTGCACTGCTTTACTATTCATAAATATGTGCACCATATTACTGTTTATAAAAGCACAATATGTGCACTGCTTTACTATTTATGAATATGTGCACCATATTACTATTTGTATAAAAACACAATATGTGCACTGCTTTACTATTTATAAATATGCACACCATATTACTATTTTATAAAAATACAGAATTTGCACTACTTTACTAATTTATATTAATATTACTATTTTTAATTAAATCCAGTATGTTGACCTTAGAAGCACCACATTGCTATTTATCCCAAAGAACGAAGTTCGGTAGGGATATAGTGAAGCCGTCCGTACGACAGTCAGTCAGTCCATTCGTCCGTCAGTCCTGAAGATAACTCAAATACTAGTTGGCAGATTTTCTTCATATCTTCATTGGTGGAAAGATGTATATTGGTATAGTTTGATGCAAATTTTTTTTTCCAAGATGGCCGCTGCTTTTAAAATGGCGGGAGTACAAATATTGTATCATTTTTCTGATTTGGGCCTCAGAAAATTCAAAATGGCTACCTAGAGCAGGAATTAGCCATTACTTAGAGTTATCTTTAAAACATGGTTACATGATACTACAATGATCTCAAATATTTATTGAATTGAAGAGTAGATGGTAAATATTACATTGTGACTGTACAGATTCATGATTGATATAGTATTCGTTGAGATTTGCTACTCCGTGGAGTTGCCATTTTCTAGTTATAATGTTAAATATACATGTATATACACTGCTTTACCATTCATAAATATTCATTTTACTTCTAATACTTATAATAAATATCCATACCACATTATTACATCTAAGAAAAATATAATTATGATGCTTGAAATGTGATATCTCAACTCAGACTCTCCAAGCCCTCAACAAGATTTTTTCAGGATATACTTATTTCTTAAATCCTCCCTTAACTGAATAATTATGGAAAAAGTCTGTATAATTCTGAAAATGGTCTGAAATTTTCAAAGTTGATAATAGTTTTCGAAACCGTATTTCTAGATGTACCATTACATGTACTTAGATTTCAAATATGACATCACTTTGACTGAATAAATCATAAAACATAAATCAAGATTATTTCTTCTCGCATCTAGTCTATTCTGAAAAGATGCGGATCACCAAAGGCCACATTGGAAAATGAATTTGAATCCCTTTTAATCATACCAAATCTACAAATGAAATGCATCATTATTTGTATTTACAGGACATCACATTAACAAGTGGTGTTTTCAAAAAGATCCAGGAATTGGAAGCTGAAAGAGACATCATTCTGATGCATGGAGGTGTAGGAGGCTTTGAGAAATCAAGGGTAATATTATATTTTACTGTTCATTATATAAAATGTGGTAAAATGGAAATGTCATGACAGTCATGTTTTTAATTTAAGTTTGCATTAGTCCCCATGTTAACATTGCATAAGTCCCAATGTTAACATTGCATAAGTCCCCATGTTAACATTGCATAAGTCCACATGTTAACATTGCATAATTCCCCATGTAAACTTTGCATATGTCCCCATTTTAACTTTGCATATGTCCCCATTTTAACTTAGCGTAAGTCCCGATGTAAACTTTGCATAAGTCCCAATGTTAACAATGCATAATTCCCCATGTAAACTTTGCATACATGTATGTCCCCATTCTAACTTTGCATAAGTCCTGATGTAAACTTTGCATAATTCCCTATGTTAACTTTACACAGTTTAGCTCTACCTTTTCTCTTGGGCATTTCAGAGAAAGCTCAGCTAGAAATTCAATATTTACTTTTTCAATTTACAGGTAATAGGCAGTGTGATTCAGGTGTTTGATAGATTTATCAATGATAATGCTTTACGACTTGAGGATTTATTTGTACAATTAGACAAGGACAAGTCAGGAGATGTGACTCTAGAAGAGATGAAATATGGACTCAAAAATGCTGGCCTTTGTCTAACAAGTGTAAGTATTCAATACTTGTCTAGCATCAAACATCTTTGTTGTTACTTGTACTCCCTCATACATCCATCATAAAAACTTCATTCAAACCAAATTGATTAACCAAAAAGCGAGATATGTATATTGTGGCTACATCACAATGAAGGGCTCTAGAATTCCTCCATAAGAAGGCAGTTTCTGTAAAATATATTAGACGGCTATTCCTTTGTGTTTTCAATTGTATATAGTAAGTTTTTAGAACACACTTGTATTAAAGGTATATTTCTGACTATATTTCTATTCCGGTATGATAGCTATAGTCATATATATACTTTTCATATTTAGTAAAACATGGAAAAATGTTTTAATATAGTCAATTTATCATTTAAAAATTGTAGTGCTCATTTCCAGTAATCTGCCATCTTATAAGTAATCTGCCATCTTTTTTATTTCACTCAGGAAGTGATGTCATCGACTCTCAACTTTCATAACCTTGCCTATAACAGTATAGGAGTGCACAAAATCGCTTCTAGACAAGTGGTTCTTTATGTGAAAAAATATTTTCAGAGCTTTTCAGCTTAGAATAAAAGAAGAGACTTTTAGAGGGATTAAAGCATAGACAAATTGAAAAAGAAAATTCAGCTGGTTTTGTAATTCTTAAGTTACTTATGCTATGTGCAAAGTTGAGAGTCAATGACATCACTTTCTGAGTGAAATCTTAAAAGATGGCAGCCTACTGGAATTGAGCACCACATTTTTAAGTGATCAATATTGACCATATCAAAACATTTTTCTGTGTTTTGCGAAACACTGAAAGTATATATAATGGTTATAGCTATATATTAGGAATATACCTTTAAAAGCTAAAAGTATGCCCATTGCCCAAAGTTTTGATTTTTTCAAGAACTGCACTAGTATAATGGTACCTGGAGTCCCCAAGGAGACTCTTTTCCAGAACTGAGGAAATCACTATTTATGCCTGAATTTTATGTAAAAGGTTAAAAATCAATCAAAATGTTTATGTTTTAGAAACTGATAGATGTTTTACTGCAAATGATAGACAATGATGGAAATGGTACCATAGAGTACAGGTATGTAAGGGAGACAGTAGAATTCAAGAAGATCAGGAAGGGTCGAGGGGAGGGGTTCAACCATCATGAAATGATCTCCTTTACAACTTACCTAAAATGGGTATAATATAACATCAGCTCTGAGTGGCCAAGCTGGTGTGTGGCCTTGTCTCATAAAAGTAAAAAAGTAAACACAGTTTGATATCTTTTTATGCCATCACCGAAAAGTGGTGACATATTGTTATGGTCTCTGTTTTTTATGGCAGTTGGTGGTTAGTGGCTGGCAATCGGCTAATTGGTGATCTAACAACTTCCAATAACTTCAAAAATACTGTTTAGACTGACTTCAATCTTTTCAAAATCATCTACAAGTTTCCAGAAGTTCAAATCTGACCTTATATTTAAGATTTGACCTTCAATGACCTTTTCAAGGTCAAAATAGGTTAAAAAGGTCAAAAAGATAACTTGCTTCAAATTGACCAAATTTTTTTTCAAAATCATCTAGAAGTTATCAGAAGTTCAAATTTGACTTAAGATTTAAGATTCAAATTGACAAATTCTGTTTCAAAATCATCTACAAGTTCTCAAAAGTTTAAATATGACTACAGTTTTGACTTTCAATGACACTCTCATGGTCAAAAAAGATTTGACCTTCAATGATCTTCTCAAGGTCAAAAAGGTATTTTTCAAGCTTCAAATTGACCAATTTGTTTTTCCAAAGTCATCTACAAGTTCTCAGAAGTTCAAATCTAACTTAAGATTGAACTCATAATATTGTGAGCAACTAGGTAGTGACATTTTGTCATGTTAATGCCTTGTGTTTTTATCAAATTTTGATCATGCGGTATTTTATCTTTCAGTGAGTTGCTAAATGGCAGTGCTTTGGTTGAGAAAGAACGCAGACGTGCAGTCTTCAAACGATCAGATATTAAAAATTGAGCAGTCTAATTCAAATGTGGCTTCCTATATTGAACTGAGCAGTCTTGTTCAAATACGCAGTTTTAGAAATGAACAATCCTATTCAACTGAGGCTTCCAATTAGGTTTCATATTGATATGGAACAATAGCGGTTCAAAAGATGAGTTGTTGTAGGAACCAGTCCTATTGAAACAAGCAGAAAGGAGTTGAAAGGAGCGCCCCCTCTCTCTCATGGAGTGAACATTCAACTGTGATGAGTATAACAGGTTTAAACAGAACAGGTAACACCTGGGTGGTAAGATGAGAAAATGTAGTGTGAACAATGTGAATGTTTATAGGGCATAGCCAGGATAAAAAAAATGAAAGGGAATTTGATTTTTAACTGAAAAAATTTTCATTTTGACTTGAAAAAAGTCTGAATTAATATTTAGTATAAATATTAATGTAATGACCTTCGATAGCAAGTCGCTACTACAGTCTCAGCTGTGGTGGCTAGCCTTTATGGCTCAGGGGTAGAGCGTCTGACTATGAGAGCGGGAGGTCCTGGGTTTGATTCCCGTACGGGGCATTGAATTTAGCACATTCTCTTTCGAGTCTAGTATCTGGCTCGGTACACTACAGCTCCCCGACGAGCGTGCCCAAGGGTCGTTACATTAATATTTAAAAATTAAATTATAAATGTTGAAAATATTTAAATGTATTTATTAATGATTCATTAACATTCAACAAACTGAAGTCATTCTTAATCTTTTTGTGAATCTGCACCTTTTTGTGAATCTGTGAAAGTTGAACAGATGCATATCTCTATATGTCCAAAATCCAAATGATTCCAAATAACTTAAACCCTTGAATATTAAATAGAACAAGTTATTAAAATTAAGAACAATGCATGATTAGTAATAGTAATTAGCAATATATATACTGTATATTATTCTGCATATTATTTTAAAGATGTATAACTGTATTTTCTTGAAATAAGGCCTCTTTCTTATATTACTCAAATTAACGCTCATGGGCCTTTATTCCAAATGTAATTCTCCTTTTTACATACATTATTTTATCTTGATTATCACTGGAAAATATAATAATTCTTTCCTAACTGCTTTTATCTAAATCTGTGATATGTCTAGAATCCGTCCAGTATATTGTATTTTTGACAACTACAGCAAATGATCTTTTATTAGTGAATATTATTCAGAATGCATATCATTATGATGACAGTTTTTACACTTTTCTTATGTTTTATATCATCAAAATGCATAATAGTTATTGCAAACCATAGTTATGTCCACATTGAAGTGTTCATGTTAGCCAGTGGGACAGTGTTCACATATCAGGATGTTCACATTTACAGAGATGTATTAGCATTATACTTGTGTTGCTGTAGTAGGGTATATAGTAATGCATTCTGATTTTTATTATTTATTGCCAAAGTAGTTTTGTCATATTGAATAATTTCATCATGATTAGGTATTCTGACTACTATGAATGTATATTTCACGGGTATTAATGACACAAATAAATTTTCTAGATGTTATTTAAAAAAAGGTATGTGTTGTTAATCAAATTATTTTACAAGCAATTTTAATCTACTTTTAAATTTTGGATGATTCATAATATATTAAAAAGCACTCAAGAATTAAACGCAAGATCACAATATGTCAAACAGTTACACCAATTAAGATCACAAAATGTCAAAGATTCACACTTATTGAGATCACACAGGATCCATGTGTCACACTAATGAAGATCATACATGTTCATGGAATCATGGTTCAACCAATCACAGTTTTTAAGATCATGAAAGGTCAACCATTAACATTTATTAAGTTCATGTGTGTGCAAACAATCACACTTCTTTAAATTATACAATGTCAAACAATCACACTAAAACCCCAGTCACATTTGTCGCACGGCGGCCGCAAGTCGACCGCAGATCAATTAAATCGGTGAATTTCTGCGGTGATCGTAGAAAAACTACGCTCGCCTTGCGGCCTCCGTACGGCAAATGCAGATTTTTACAGGCCGCAGGGAAGGTGTAGAAATTATAACTCGGAGTTATAATATTTGTTCATTTCCCCGTAGAAATCAGGTCCCCGTAGAAATCAACTGGCTCAACAAGATTGAATCATTATTTATCAATGTTTCACGATCACTTTTCATTTGATATTACATCCTAGCACTATGAATAACATTTATAAATTGTCCTGATGTAAATAAAATGAAAAAAGTATTATTTATCAACAGAAATTTAAAATTCACCGTGCGGCTGCCGTGGGAAATATGACTGCAAAAGTATGAGAGCGCAGAAATTCTGCGGCGAGCGTAGAAAAGCTACTGGCCGCAGAAATGACAGACCGCAAGGTCGCCGTAGGAAATGTGACTGGGGTGTTATGAAGACCATACAATACATGTGCAAATATTCAAAGTCATTAAGTAATGATGGTCAGACTTTAGATGGTCTTACAAGGTCAAACATCCACACTTATTAATATTAGTTAAGGTCAAATGGTCATCAAGAGCATACAAGGTCAAACAGCCATGTATTGATTAAGATCACACAACGTCAAACAGTCACACTTATTACAGTATTAGGTCATACAATTTCAAATGGTCACTTATAAATATCACACAATGTCAAATAGTCACTTATTAAGAGGTCAAACACCCATCCATTGAGATCACACAACGTCAAACAGTCACACTTACAAAATATTACAAAGTATTACAGTATTAGGTCATACAATTTCAAATAGTCACTTATAAACATCACACAATGTCAAATAGTCACTTATTAAGAGGTCAAACACCCATCCATTGAGATCACACAACGTCAAACAGTCACACTTATTACAGTATTAGGTCATACAATTTCAAATAGTCACTTATAAACATCACACAATGTCAAATAGTCACTTATTAAGAGGTCAAACACCCACCCATTAAGATCACACAACGTCAAACAGTCACACTTATTACAGTATTAGGTCATACAATTTCAAATGGTCTCTTATAAATATCACACAATGTCAAATAGTCACTTATTAAGAGGTCAAACACCCACCCATTAAGATCACACAACGTCAAACAGTCACACTTATTACAGTATTAGGTCATACAATTTCAAATAGTCACTTATAAACATCACACAATGTCAAATAGTCACTTATTAAGAGGTCAAACACCCATCCATTGAGATCACACAACGTCAAACAGTCACACTTATTACAGTATTAGGTCATACAATTTCAAATAGTCACTTATAAACAACACACAATGTCAAATAGTCACTTATTAAGAGGTCAAACACCCACCCATTAAGATCACACAACGTCAAACAGTCACACTTATTACAGTATTAGGTCATACAATTTCAAATGGTCACTTATAAATATCACACAATGTCAAATAGTCACTTATTAAGAGGTCAAACACCCACCCATTAAGATCACACAACGTCAAACAGTCACACTTATTACAGTATTAGGTCATACAATTTCAAATAGTCACTTATAAACATCACACAATGTCAAATAGTCACTTATTAAGAGGTCAAACACCCATCCATTGAGTTCACACAACGTCAAACAGTCACACTTATTACAGTATTAGGTCATACAATTTCAAATAGTCACTTATAAACATCACACAATGTCAAATAGTCACTTATTAAGAGGTCAAACACCCACCCATTGAGATCACACAACGTCAAACAGACACACTTATAAAGATAATACAAGGTCAAATAGTCACTTATTAAGAGGTCAAACACCCACCCATTAAGATCACACAACGTCAAACAGTCACACTTATTACAGTATTAGGTCATACAATTTCAAATGGTCACTTATAAATATCACACAATGTCAAATAGTCACTTATTAAGAGGTCAAACACCCACCCATTAAGATCACACAACGTCAAACAGTCACACTTATTACAGTATTAGGTCATACAATTTCAAATAGTCACTTATAAACATCACACAATGTCAAATAGTCACTTATTAAGAGGTCAAACACCCACCCATTGAGATCACACAACGTCAAACAGACACACTTATAAAGATAATACAAGGTCAAATGGCCACCCTTATTAAGAGGATACATGTTCATGGTCACATTTATGAAGACCATACATCACTGATCAGTATCAATGGAAGGTAACGGCCGTTGCATTTAAGATGGCGGATGGTAAGTGTCAATTTCAATATTTTTAGTTTCCAACGATGTCGTCCACCGTTTAATGAAGGTAACTGGAAATGTATGATCTGTAAAACCAAGATCCCAGTTACCTTCCCTAAGCCGTGGAAGAAATCGTTGACCTGTGGCGCCTACGCACAACATATGATCAAATGATCATACTCCAATATAAGTCCGATTCAGGTCAAATATTAAAGCATTACGTCAACTATAAAGGCCTATGGAAACTAAAAAACATCGACATTTACCGTCCGCCATCTTTAATGCGAAGGTAATGGCCGTTACTTCGCTTGATACTGGCCAGTGACACATGAAAAAACAATCACACTTCGGAAGTGTGATTGTTTGTTCATGTGTCACTGGCCAGTATCAAGCGAGTTCTTCTGGTCAAACGGGGAGACATATGACCATTCAAGGTCAAACAATCACACTTATTAAGATCATTACAAACGATCACACTTCTTTGGTCAAACAATCACACAAATTAAGATTACATAACGTCAAACATGCATGTCTTCAGATCGTGAAATAAAACATTGATGCAAATAAATGTGAAATAGTGAGATTGCAGGCATTAGTTCATTAACTCTTCTACAAATACAAAGGGAATGAATTGGCAAGTTTAGATTTCTTTATAAATGAAAATCCATACTAAAAAACAACCGACATAAAACTATCGAGGTCTGGTTTATATTTCTTCATACTCCGTACATCAAGTATTTTTAACATTTAGACTTTGATCACAGAAGTTATAAGATACAGTACCAAGTGACGTGTATGTACACACTTTTAACTGTACCTATGAACCATCGTCTCGTACATAGACTCTTCACACAGATAACTTTTGCTATACGGTCATACTTTTATAGTCTGTCATACACTGCATACTACTTGTTTAACAGTTACTCAAATTGCTTCCTTCTACATGGGGTACTATTGACTTTAAAAATGCCATTGCCGAGGATAGGAGACTTTCTGTATGTGTGGGGCTCAGCAGCTTTGTGGGGAACCTACGCTATGGGAAAGATGCTAAAGGGTGCAATACGGCACCCAATACTTTATATGACAGCCACTGAGAGAACTGAACGACCAAAATGCTTGGATGATCCCTCCTTGGGTGCACACGAATACTTGCAACTGAAGGTATGGTTATTCCAACGTTAGCATCTCGCTAAACGCCCATTGGGCGTTTATTACGTATGGACGTTTATTTGAAAGTCCTCGAAAAAATACATTGGCCTTTATGAAGAGAGTTTACTGATTTTCCTAGGAGTGGAAAATCTTGATCGTAATGTTGTAACATAATTACGCATATCATTACGATCAACGTTAACCGATATGCGACACTGACACCTGAATATTACAATGCAATGATAAACTTGCTCACTTCATTACTTACTGTACGTTCACTAATTCTCTACGTTTGCCACTTTTATCACCTATTTTTTTATTCGCAACTGTTTATGACTGCTGCCAATGAAAGTAGAAACGAATCAGACAGTGGATAATAACTTTCAAGGAGGAAATTTTCTATTTTATACACACCTCCTTTAAAGAAACCCCCATGGGTCTATTAACGAGAAACTCCGATACTTTTTACTTTAGTCTTGTATCCTTATGCTGAAACCCAATTATAAATCATCGTTTTTATGTCCTCCGAACGCATGGACCTGAGTCCTGACAGATCATTCCAATCTTTTCATTAGTTCTTCAGGAAAACAGTGAATGATGTCAGGACTGCTACGTTGAGAGGATGAAATAGGGCATAGGGGCAGTTAATTTGTCTGTTCCACCAGGAAGTACCAATGATTTGATCTGAGCTAATGCTTGCCTTCATCTTTCAGGACGTGAAGCTGCATTATGTTGCCAATGGCGACAAAAGTAAACCATTGATGCTATGCCTTCATGGGTTCCCAGAGTTTTGGTATTCCTGGAGACATCAGCTGAAGGAGTTTTCGAAAGATTTTAGGTGTTTGTATTTTATGCTTCCCGGGAAACAATGCACGTATTAGCAGTACATGCGACTACATGTAGTTTAGCTTATGGTTGCCAAGGCAAACACTTCATTGTTCATGGATTACTTCAGCTTTTGCCTATGTATGAGCTCTATATAAAATGCTCTTGACTGATTTTCACTGACAGCATTCATCAAGTTTAAGATTGTAAAATTGAACTACTGCAATTGATTTTTGAGTACATCCAGTTTATTTTTATAATCTATGTTGTATTTAGAGTGGTTGCCCTCGACAACCGTGGTTATGGTGATTCAGACAAGCCGGAAGAAATTGCTGAATACAGTCTGCTAAAACTAACAAATGACGTTAAAGAAGTAATCGAAAGATTGGGATACAAATCCTGCGTTTTGGTAGGACACGACTGGGGTGCCAATATCGCCTGGGTATTCACTATTCGCTTTCCAAGTTTGGTTGATAAGTTAATCATAATGAACGTCCCTCACCCAAAGGTGTTCATTCCGTATATCAGAGAGCATCGAGAACAGTATGTAAAATCATGGTGAGTATACTAAAAGAATAACGGTGGTTGTTTTGAGATCAATTTATGCTTGATCATGACCGGGTAATCGGGTATGAATAGTTATAATGTTATGTTAGTTTCTTTAGTCGGAATACCTGTGGGTGGATTAAGGATTAAAACCCTAGACTCAATGCAATGTGGACTGAATCATCCCTCAAAAAGGTATTATTTCAACCTTTGCACGAGATGCGCAACATCGAGTGTGAAGTTTGGGAAATAACACCTGGGTTGAATGATTTAACCACACTGCATATCTTGTCTTGGGCTTCAATTGTTTTCACACATTGCAAAATATTTTCTACGAAAGATCACTAAAATAACATATTTTCAGTGAACATTTTTAGCAAGGGTCAAGTCGGCAAAGCATCAATTTCAGTCTGTAGAGTTAAGTTTTCACCTTGACAAAAGGTTAGCAAATTAAGTATGCCGTGGCAGCTCCACCATTTTTATAACAATTTCCAAATTTTTAGAACCCATCTTAGTTTCATCTTGGATTTCCAAGGTATGGTGAAAATCAGACTGGGAAACGAGGTCTTAGTTTAATGATCGAATATTCTTACCATCTTGCTTTATCAAGCTTCATCAATAGAACGTAGTGATTGAGCGTGGGAACCGACGATGTATTCTTATAACATTGTCCAAATTAATTTTATCTTCAGGTACGTGTTTTTCTATCAGTTGCCTTACCTCCCCGAACATTTCCTCTCGGCGTTTGACTTTGGCGCTTTAAAGGGTACGTTCTTGGGCAAAACTGCTGGAGTCGTCAACAAAGAACATTTCACAAAGGAAGACATGGACGCTTATCTTTATGTATTTTCTCAACCTGGTGAGTATGGGGCCCTACACTATCAATTTAAGAGTTCTTTTTAAAATCACTTGTACTGTTTTTCACATTATCGTGAATAGTTCGAGAAAGAAAGTTTATTAAAACTGATTTTATGAGGATATTCTGTTTTCATATAGCGCTCCAACGGTCCGTGATTTTGCCTGTCTGGTGCGTAACGTCCAAATGTGAACATGTTTTAAATGTTTTTGACGCCTGTATTACTATTTTCCAGGAGCCTTCACAGGCCCTGTAAACTACTACAGGGCCCTATTGCGCCAATGGCCGTACACCAAGAAGCCGTCTGCCAGTAAGGGCCCGACCATTGATATACCAAATGTTCCAGTTCTTGTTGTATGGGGTGATCAAGATGGTGCATTAGAAGCCGACATGGCAAAGTTGTCTGGAAATTATGTCAACAACTTTACGTTGAAATTTGTACGTGGGTGCAGTCACTGGGTGCAGCAAGAAGAACCGATCATTGTCAATGACATTATGAGAACTTTCTTAGAAAACCCTTTGAGTTTAAAGAGTTCTTTATAAATAACCCCCCAACCAATAAAAATAAAACCACAAGATAGAAAAGAGCTTTAAAATGCTTTTTATTTGAAGCCTCTAGCTCAGTTTTGAAGGAAACATAACATTTTTTGTAAAATTCAAAACAAATCTTTAAACAAGACAGTAACATGACAAAATGTCACCACCTTGTTGCTCACAATATTATTTCTATGAATGTTCATCTCTCTGGTAGTAATGTACAAAGTTGTTGATTTTCTTTCTCAGATATATTTCTTTTTCTTTTTGACGTTTCGTAGGATGTCCATCCTACTTCTTCAGAAATAAGATTATATTTGAATCAAACTGAAATAATTAATTATTACATAACAATGAGACAAATAGCAACCGTTACCCTACTATATAATAAAAACTCCAATCAACAACTTTGTTAAATACATTACTACCAGAGAGATGGACATTCAAAGAAATAAAAGATCAGTTGGGAGGTGGTCAGTATTCTATTACTATAATTCATGTTTCTCTGTTGTTCCTCGAACTAAAGAGATCCAAGCAAACTAATACCATGGGCCATGCTAATACTAATGATTTGCTATAATAAATAGATTTTAAATGATTTATGTGAGTTTCATGTGAGTTTACTTTTGTTTGTATTTCATATGTTCGCTTTGTTCGGTTTTACTCATCCTTCATTCAAAGGACTTCATTTATTACTTATTATTTATTATTACTTATATTATTTATTATGGAAAGAAATCAAATACCCTTGGACCAAGGATGGTTTTACTGCCCTAGGCCTACTCTATATTTTACTTGTCCGGACGCGTAGGACTATATTAATTTTATTGTTCTGGCTATGGTCGATGGAATCGTTTGATGGTAGGTATCTATACATTATTGTCAAGTCATCTGTCGCACATTGTCGATTGAGGAAAATTGATTTCAATCGATCCAGAATTTGTCATGAATGCAGCGCATAGCAAGGCCATGAAGTTAAACCCAATAACGGCTCCAGAAAAATTCAGCCATTATCGAAACGGCCATATGTCAGTTGTACTTGTTGAACTAACATTTTCTCCCCTTTGACAGCAGTTTAACAGTTATTCAACTTTCAACTTTAGTCATGTCCAGAGCAAATAAAACAATGAAGAAAATGCGAGAATAAACGGTGCCCCCCCCCTGTGCAACAACCCCGTGCACCGTGCTGGTGGACAGCTGCGATGTGGGGGCTGCGGGACATACTGCAAAACGAATCATTGAAAGATGAACAGGTTGCCCGCCGCTGTAGTCAACGCGGTAGCATGATACTCAGGGGCGGATCTGGGAATCAACAAGGGGGGGGGGGGGGGCCAAATTTCAAGTCAGAGAAAAAAACGTCCGCGCTTGCGCGGAAAAACATTTTGGGCCCCTAAAACTCAAAAGTGGGCCCAAATTTTGAAATTTTGAGGCCCATTTTCTTCCAAATTTGGCCTGAAATGACCTAAAAGGCCCACTTTTTGGGGCCTGAAGGTTTTTTTTGGCCCAACATTTTTTTTGGGCCCAATTTTTTTTTTCTGGGCCGACCCAAGGGGGGGGGGGGGCTATGATATTTGAATTTCCGTTGTTCAGCTTTTAGTTTATCAAAATAAAGGATCCGTACCCATTAGTGTACCTATAAGGACTTTTTTGAAAAGGGTAAATTGGAACTCCAGGATTATTTTTATATAATATGAATCTTTAAGAAGTATATTTTCAACAAATCACAAAAATATTATTTAAAATATGGTAAAAAGTTGTTTTTACGGTGATTTTTAACACATGTCATTCTGAATCTTAAAATGAGTAATTTTCACATATTTTCACAAAACCTTGAATAAAATCTTGATTTTTGTAGATACACTTAAATTGACTTGTCAATATAAAACTACATTGTGTCTGAGCATAATAACCTTCACTAAGCAGATCAACCATGCATAGATACTTTGTAATCCCATTGTTTCGAAAGGCACCCTATTGTGTTCTTGTTTTTAAGAATGAATGACCTTCTGCAGTCACTGACATATTGAGGTGCTTCCGCAGGTCAGACCCCCTCTGATTTTACCTTTATTGTTTAGTATTGACATTATTGCAGAGTTAAAACATGAAATGAGAGAGGGTCCTGGCTGCGGAAGATATACAATGTGAAAGTATAGCAAAAAATTTAGTTTAAAAAAGGAGGCCATATTGGATCTGCCAGACACCAAGGCAACAAACTATCAAACAAGTATCAAAGGGGTCAATTTATTTCTGATTTATCAGTCATGCATGCCTCTGAAGAGGATACGTTGCAGAGGAACTGAATATTGATATCCATTTAGTCATTAAAGGGACACTGTTTGTAAGATAGCTCTCATGATAATGAACACATTTAAATGTTTTAAACAAAGAATCAAATGGGTCAATCTTTTGATTCATCAGTTATGTCTATCTCTGGAGCTGATATGTTGAAGAGACACTGAATTAATATCCATTTAGCCATTAAAGGGACACTCCTTGTAAGGTAAAACATTTTTGACAAACAATCAAAGGGTCAATATACTTTTGATTCATCAGCAATGTCTGTCCCTGAATGTGATATATTGCTGAGGGACTGAATCAATATCCATTTACCCATTTAAAGAGACCTTCATTCAATTGCCTACCCCTGAAGATGATATATTACTGAGGGACTAAATCAATATCCATGTAGCTGTTTAAAGACACACTGCTTGTAAGGTAGTTCTCACCAAAAGAAACAAAAGGGTCAATCTATTTTTGATGCCCGTCCTAAAAGATGATATATTGCTGAAAGATGGAATCAATATCCATTTAGCCATTAAAGGGACACTGCTTGTAAGATAGTTCTCATCCTAAGTCAAACTAAGATATTTTGCTTCATCATAATTATATGTTATACAATCGATAGATTAAATACTTCTACTTGTTTGATAGCAAAACAATGGGTTTCAAACTGACGAAAAAACTATCCTAGATGCACCTTTTCAATTTTAAAAAGCAATCATTTGACTTTATACCTTTAGCTTCATTTAAATTATTCTTTGAAAATGCCAAATCAATATATCATATATTGGAAAGTCACAACTAGATTTTTAGTATTTGAGTTGAATAACTAGGTTTTGTGTTTTCAATATGTTGCCCTTTGTGTCCTACCTTTAGTAAAATAATGATGTTTAATATGTCCTCTAAATTGAATATCCTAGGTTAAACCTACTGCATACCAACTGAGGTGATAATGGTACTTTTGCTGAGATTCCGGATTAAGATTCATATGTTGCCCTTTGTGTCCTACCTTAATGATAGTTTGATATATCGATTGATTGAATGGTCAATATACTTAAAATAGTCATGAGTGAAGACTAACATACCCGTAACATGATATTTAGAATGATTTGCATAGTCAAACTGAAATGCACTGAATGACCTTAGTTTTAATCCCTTTGACCTAATTTTGTTTTGGATGTGTTCATAACTGATAAAAGTTACTATTTCCATGTTATATTCAATGAAACCTTTGGGGGCATCTTTAGGTACATGGGGTAACGGATCCTTTCATCCCGGTAATTCTGAAGGGTAAAAGATTTTTCGCTTGGTGCTATTGGAGGCAATTCTTCACGTGATGTAAATATTTACGGTTCGTGTGCAAAGAACACACGTGGTTTCGTAGTAAGAAGTTGAACCGGGAGTGTGCCGACTTGTGGTCAATTTATAACGCAGTTTTAGTCGTCAAAAACTACCATTCACTATTAACTGCTGAAATAACAGTTGTAAGTATAATTGATTGTGTATTTAGGATAATTATGTATATTTTTCTGCTCTACATAGGCAGAGAGAGTATGATGAATCATTGATTTAATTTTTGCGTGAAACAAGACAGGAATTCCCGCTGAAATTTACACGTTTTCCAACTATTTTTTATCATTACTGCAGCAGGCTAGTGATCTGATTTAAGTGTCTTTATTTGAATCGATCTGTTATTGTGAATATTACCTTTGTGTAAACGTGAAAAAAGTAGATGAGAAGGCCTAGTCGATTAGAAAATATCAGTGTTGAAAAAGTAGGTCAGAAATTTAGCTGCCATTTTAGGCAGATCTGCATGTAGAGACAGAGAACTTCTGCAATTTTGAAAAGACCTTTCTCAATTTTCTACTTCTTTATATGTTCGAACGAAAAATGAACACTCAATTATCAAATGACAAAACAGGAAGTGACAAAACATGTGGCTTATTCTGTGCCAGGACTCTTTTGCCTGTACGGTTACAACATGGTTACAACATGAGACGTACTTCAATAGATACCTTGGTATTTTAGCATTCTTTTCGTGTAGTTGAATCCACAATTATCTGGGTTAATCGGCAGAACGAAGAAATTGTCGATTTTGAAAATTTCACAATCTTGAAATTTTCAAACTCTTTCTGAGAAGTCGTTTTTATTATTTCACATATGCTTGTGCACTGTAATCATTACAAAGACATCAAAGAACAACAAAAAACTTTAGTTTAAGAAAAAAAGTGCCGTTTAAGGCGACGCTATATTAAGGACAGGGTGCATGTTGGGAAATTTTCTGCATTCCTCAATTGAGTCACATGTTATTTTTCAAACATGAATAACTCCTTCGCCACATTGTCTACATCTTCCAAGTTTGCACAAAGAGTGCACCTTTGTGCCTAGAAAAGCCTTGTGAGAAGGTTTGTTTTGTAAAATGTATAAAAATGAGAAAATTCAGTGAAAAACAATTCTGAAAATTTTCTGATTTTTTTCACTGAATTTTCTTGTTTTTTATACACTTTATCAAAACATTCTTCTCACAAGTCTTTTCTAGGCACATAAATGCACTCTTTGTGCAAAACTGGAAGATTATAAAGACAATGAAGAGGAGGAGTGATTCTTGTTTGAAAAATAACATGTGACTCAATTGAGGAATGCAGAAAATTTCCCATCATGCACCCTGACCTTAAATAATAAGTACAAAAAATGACTGCCATAAAGACACATGTTTTTAAAATCTGTTTACCTTGTATATGAATTGTGTATCTTGACTAATGAAACATGTCAAAGTTAACATCACACATAAACGCATTTTTCCAAACTATGAATTGGAGGTGCATGGATCCCCAAAGCTAGCATGAAGAGTGCGAAGTGAGGCTAATTTTTGAAAGTTTCAAGGAGTAGCCGCAACAGTCACACATTTGCAAGAGTCTAAAATTTCCACAAATCATCTTACCTTTCCCAGGAACAACGAAGGAGCATGAAAATGTGCACTTCTTGCATTGTTAGAGTATAATAAACCTCAAACCATTGTAAATTCCAAATATTTCATGTCCACATTTTGTTTGCCGGAAAAAAATTGAGAGAAAATCCAACCAAAAGACAGTTAATTTTGATGGTCAGATTATACTCAAATGCCATGTGCCTCCTGGTTTCGGCCATCTTGGATTTTTTGATTAAGTTATAAGTTACCTTAAGGTGCTATGGAAGTTAACAGGAAATGACAAAACAAAAAATGTCAAAACCATGCTGGATTTTGAAAATTTTTTGAACCAAGATAACATGAGTTCTGTTTGGATCTCCAGTCAGTTTAACTAGTTCCTTATCATTTACATGACTGGGAACATAATGAAAATGGTCAGAATGACCATAAACATGATGAAATAACCTTTTCAGCCCTCTGAATTTATCGTATCCTACCGACCACTTAGATTGTGGTCATACGCCCGATTCATTGGTAAGCCTGTCTTTCTACAATGTCGGAGAATGAACTACGCATTGCACAGAGTAATTTAGAATTCTTTTTATGTTGTCCATTTCACTGTTTAACTGCGTCAGTAAAAGCCCAGGGCTTGCATTAACAGCGTCCCTTACATGTAAGTGACGCAAAAAAAAATTGTAGGACGGAAAAATAAAAAATATTTCCGTTTTTGGGACGGAAAAAAAATTGAGTCAAAACTTTGAACATTTTTTGAAAATCTTGAAAATCTCAATAGTTGATCATGTTTGACTTCTTTGAGGTGTATATTAAGATCAAAATATGTGAGATTTACAACTTTATTTTGAGTAAAAAAGAAAAAGAATGCAGAAAAACGAACTATTGTAATGGGCGATAATAGGTTATCAGTTTGCATGTGACATATTTTCTCACTGAAAAGCTGATATAAAACCTTCAAAATGAGTTCAATTGTACAAATGATGCATACTCAGTCAATATCGTACAACGAAAATGGGACTTCTGCGCATGTTAAAATTTTTCGTCAAAACTCAACTTTTGTTCAAGTTGATACGATTGTCTTTCGAACTAGAGACTTACCTCATTCGAAAGATCATAAAAGACTTTATCTATACTGAAAATCTTAGATCCAAACATAGTAGAATACGCCGTCAGTTCGCATTTGATTTTTTGAAGTGAGATCGTAGATCGTCAGATTTCTCCGACTGATATCGGGTTATCTCAAACTGGTTCGTTTATAAATAAGAATTTCTTAACCGTTGTAAGGCGCATGCGCAAAATTGATTTATAAACCTTATTGGTTGATGGTTTTTCTCCTGCGCATGCGTGAAGTCTGATGAACACTTATGACGAAGACCGGAGCAAACATTACTAGCTCTCGAACGAAATTCCAAGATTCATGTCATTTCGCCGTGTTTGCTAAGCGTGTATACGTGAATGACAAGCTGTTTTGAGTAGATCGGGTACCTGTTTTAGACACAACATTGATTTAGCTTGACATTGATGTGCACATTGGCACTTTTGAGCATGTTAATACAAGTTTTTACACGCTTAGCACGAGACGGGTTTTCGAAAAATCTGTTATCTGATTCACTCGATTATCGTATGGATATGTATTTCTGCTGACATTTCAACACCACATCACATAGAATTACGATGCAGAATGATAATAAAACACAAAACAACTACTAAATTCCACTTGTTATTTCACAGGAGGTAAAAATGCAAACTGCTTAGATTCTTTGTAAGGGTCGTCAGACATCGGATTGGCCGCCATATTTGAAATGAAAATATCACTAAATAGAGGTCTGCGCATGCCTCAACATTTCGACTGTACTTACCTAGGTGAAGTAGTCTATTTGTGATTATATAACGTCAAAATGGTCTAATTTATGATATAAATCAGAGGATTCTGATCATGTAGAAAATGTAGTGCTACACTAAATTACTGAGCGTCAGACAAATTCATACTAAAAAATGTTCTTATTTTTTCAAGCAGTTGTTCAGTGCAAACAGCAAGTATAAAGATAATCACAGTATAATAGTACTTATTATAACAGGCTGGAGGTTACATAACATAAGTGAATTGAATATAAAGAACATGTTTAAATCACAGGGCACGAATGGCAACATTTGGAAAACGCATAAGACATGTAAGATCAAGTCATGCACATTCCAAAATAGCCCATTATAGCTTATTTAGCTAATTTAGCTTATACACACATCCTAGTTTTCTGCATGAGAAAAATGCAAATTCTGCGCAGAAATTCTGCATGAAAAAGCCAAATTCTGCACCAAATTCTGCAATTTTGCGGTTCAAGTATGTGCAAAAAATGAAATTCTTGCTAAAATCAATAATTTTTTCCAAAAAATTAATAATTCAAAATTCTTGAACTCCACTCATGCTGCTTTCTTCAGCGATAATGGACAACTGCAGTAATAACACCAGATGCAATTTTAATCAATTAGCGACAAAACTTACAAAATGCTCACTTGTGAACTATCACGAAATTCGAAGTATCACGAAATTCCAGATCAATATGCAGGGAATTCAGATGTCGTTTATTTATATATGACGAAGTAAAACGGAAGAAGAAGCATGATTTATTGCGTTAGAATACAAAAGAATACAATATTAGACATATTATTGCAAAACAATTACGAGGGACAGTCATCGGTTTCAAATTTCGTGATTATGTTAGACGCAGTCTTACCTCTAAGTGCAAAGGCGGAAGTTCGAGAATTTAAAACAGATTTCAGATTTCCTCTTGAAAATCTGACAAAACACAAGTATCTGACAACAAACGAGCGGAGTCTTTGGGTGTTTAGGTGAGTGACAAATATGAGATGAGATGGTTGACTGGAAAAATCATGTTTTCCGCGAAATTCCGTGCCAAAACAAAAATTCTGCAAAAAAAATGAAAATGCAAATTTCTGCGGTTTTTCTGCGGCGACGCGGAATCACGGAATACTAGGATGAGTGCTTATATATTGGAGGACACACTTTTTTCTGTCGGGACTCACTTTTTAATTTTTTTTTTTTCCTTCATTGGGACTCACATTTTTCAGAGCCTAATGCAAGCGCTGGTAAAAGCTAAAAAAAAATAAGAAATCAAAATATCATTTTGCAATAATATATGGAAAAATATATTCCTATTGTACATGAATGACATTTGTATATCTTGGATTGCTTCTAGAGTCCATTTCACTGCTTCATTTCGTCAGTAGAACGGCAAAAATAAGAAATTGGGAGACCATTGTGCAATAATATATGGAAAAGTATATTCATAATGTACATGAATGACATTTGTATATTTCAGATTTTTTAGTTTTTTGTGCAATAAGCCTGTGCCGTCTTGTAATTTGAAGAATTTCGGCCATGTTAATCTTATTGAAAATAACATGGCAGAGAAACATCCAAATATAAGAGGCCACACACTTTATAAGCCAAACTAGAAGCAATCCAACGTCCAACCTTCTGAAATTTCTGTAAAATGGCAAAAACCGTGTCAACACGAACACTGATCTTGGAATCTCTCTCAATGAAAAAGAAAAATGCTCCCGTTCTGCCGATAAACCCAAATAATTGTGGATTAAACTACACGAAAAGAATGCTAAAATACCCAGGAATCTATTGAAGTAGGTATCTAACGTGTTGGTTTAATGTCGTTAAACTCAATAAAGGCGTTCTTTATTACTATTAGGAATTTCCTTGGCCATTATTGGGTTCAACCTCCTTTACTATTCTTTCCTTTATTGCAAAGTTCTGGATCCATCAAAACCATTTTTCCGCGATAACATGCAACTAATACTTGACAACTATTAAAATGAGGCTACACTAACCAATCTCTAAAATGGCATTTCCGCATGTCCGTCATTGTGTCTTTTCGTCCGGGTGTCCAGGATTAAAATTTAACTATTAGCGAAACGAAATTGTCAAATACTGTAGATTGATAAATATTATCGTGATTACTCAGGATAAAATGATCAATTTTGAGGATAAAATGATCAATTTTGAGGATAAAATGATCAATTTTGAGGATAACAGGAATCTTTGGTTGATTTATATAGCGCGTGTATACACGCAAAATAGTTATTAATTGCAAACCTACCGTTTGTTAATGCAGTGCCGTAATGATGGTTAATTTCTAATACGATTTGCAATTTTTATGTCACCAGAACTGACCGACATTTTCGTTATATTCCAAACCGGTCTCCAATATTTTCGTAATTATGCATCAATAGGGTCTAAGGGGGATACGGGATGGTGTGTATGTATTCATAAGGTTTGTATGCATGCTTGAATCACATTCTTTATGCAATATTACCATGTTTTCAGGGTTTAATTAGTTACACTTCTTGAAACCTACGGAACGATTAAATTAACGCATCAAAGGCAAAATGATCATGGAGGTTAGACCTAGCTGTTCATTTTTCTACCAGAAATTGCTTGTTCCCCCCTTCGTCCCATGTTTACGATCACCGGGCGTGTGTAAGAGGCGTACAGTGTTTTCATTAGGGTCTGAAAAAATCTGTCCCAAATTAAAATGATTCAATATGTAATTTTTTGCTGAAATTTTATTCATGATGTTCCTTATGAAATAAGCAAATTTCAACTTGAGAAGTACACTTTCTAAGCTATTAAAACCTCGACAAATCTGTCCTTTATTCATGAATGTAGCGCAAAATGATCACATGTTGAATGCTTGCTAACTCCAGGAAACACATCAATATTTTATTCATTTATATAATATTTAAATAGGCAATGTGCCTATTTTTGAAGGAAAAAGGACAAACTATTATTTGAGACATGTCACTCTCACAGTCAATCAAATATGATAAAAACTTCAATTTGGGATAATACTGAATTGAAAGAAAAATTACTCGCATAGAAACAGCATTTGAAGTTCAGAGATTGAAAAAAGTGAATAACCACTTTTCACAAAAATAACTCTTGGATTAAAAGATGGCGTATGCTTGAAAATCCTATCAAAAATGAATGGATAATTAATGCAAACAACAATGCCATCTTTCTATGGCATTGCTAAAAACTTGAAATATATAAATTGAGAGATCAAAAATATTTTTTCATGATCTGGTGTCAATTCTGATGTGGTCTGTTTGAGCTTTTTTTTGGTTTCAAATGAAAGATCGGCTATTAATTAATCCATTGGAAATACTGTGAAGATCAAAAGTGAGACTTTTATGCACTTTGTCCCTTTAAATTGTAGATCTATTGAACTTCCCTGTTCCTGGGTCATTAAAAACGATTTTTTAGAACATATAGAAAAGATTTGCCGTTTGGTAGATCAATAAAAAATTTTCAGGGATTATTCTTAGTATGAAAATCTAGAACAGATTGTTTTTTGGCATTCTAGATAAATGTCAAGGCAGCCATTTTGGATTTTCCGTCCTAAAATCTTGTCTGTAAAGTTTTGTTTACAATGTTTTCTGGTTAACTGTGTGACGGATCGATTTCAAATTTTTTCAGGGGTGGTTCTAGTATGACAATCTAGAACTGACTAATTTTTGGGCATTCTGGGTAAATTTTAAGGTGTCCATTTTGGATTTTCCGTCCTCAAATTGTGTCCGTGAAGTCTTGTCTACTCATTTTTTAGGATAACGATTTGATGGGATCATCCATAGGTGGGGACATTTTGTACACATCTGTGTTCTTGTAAATGCTCTTCTTATGCTCACTATGATTTCTATATTTCTGTATTGACTTCCCTACTTCATAAAAAAAGAACATTATCACCATTAAGATGTTGCCGTTTTTTTGTGAATGTAACAGGCACTCTACACATGTTTTGATATTTCCAGCTTTCATCATGAGTGAAAATTTATGCTACAAGTGTAACAAACCAGGCCACTTTGCCCGGGAATGTGGAAGTGAAGATGGAGGCGGTCGCAGAGATGGTGGTTACCGCAGAGATGGTGGTGGTGGTGGCCGATCATTCGGTGGATACAGATCAGGTGGTGGAGGAGGAGGAGGAGGAGGTAATAGAGGTAAATTGTGTGGCACGAATTGGTGTTCGTAGTTGCATAGTTTGCGATTTCTATCTTACTTTGAAAAAGTGCTATGTTGCTGTCCTCTTGGGTGTAACAAATTTTATCATAATTCTGTTTAAGTTTTGGGTATGCTGGGTAAATTACATGGTTGTTGGCCATTTTCACTGCTACCCGCCTAATTACACGGACGTATCGTCGGTGTATCATGGCGGAACTTCCTCCGGGACTAGGTTTCGGTAAGATTTTTTTATTTCCCGATTTACACCTACTTATATAAGTCACGTTGTGGATAATAATTTGGCTCGAAGTTAAGGAAGATAGTCTAGTTTGAGAATGTGTTGCTGGTTTAAGGTTTTATATGTTCACAAAGACACAATTCACGTATTTAGTCCCTCGCTTTTCTTACACTGACAAACGACCAATATCAGTGTAATATTGGCAATATTAATGCCGTTCGTCAGTGTAAGAAAAGCGAGGGACTAAATACGTGAATTGTGTCTTTGTTATCATATAAAACCTAAAATCATCGACACATTCTCAAACTAGACTATCTTCCTTAACTTCGAGCCAAATTATTATCCACAACGTGACTTATAAGTAGGTGTAAATCGGGAAATAAAAAATCTTACCGAAACCTAGTCCCGAAGGAAGTTCCGCCATGATACACCGACGATACGTCTGTGTAATTAGGTGGGTAGCAGTGATTCGAGTTGTTTGAAATGATGTGATTTGATTTTTATTAGATATAAGACTTGCGGTGATTTTGATGTTTCTCAGTTTTTTTGCAGCTTTAACTGTTGGTGCAAGAAATTGGGAAGCTTTATTATCCCAACGAATGAAGTTTAGTAGGGATATAGTGAAGCCCTCTGCCTGACTGTCTGTCCAGAAGATAACTTGAATACTAGTTGACAGATTTTCTCCATATTTGGTGGAAAGATTTATATTGGTGAATAGTTTTACGCAAATTTTTTTTTTCAAGATGGCCGCCAGTTTATAAATGGCGGGAATTTTTGGAAAAAATCGAATGGTTTTCATTTAAAACCAAAGAAATAAATATTATTATTTGAAATTTTGGTAGTATATTAACAACATCTATCTATTTCACATATATCCCTGGTTTTTTCACCCTGACCCCCCAAAGATTGGTAAGGCCATTTGAAAGCCCCTTGCCAGATATGGCGCCATGTAAAACAAAGTTAATTTGCACCCTTTCTATTAGTATATTAGTACTTTGCTTTTAGTTCTGTGTTCTGCTTTGTTCTAAATAAATACAATTGGGGATATTGTTAAGTCTCCCTGAAACCAGAATACCTGTTTACTTCATTTTTTGTGGAAATTGTTCATTATAATTGGTAGATGGTTTTACACAATAAATCTAAAATATCAAAATGGCTGCTGCTTCTTAATGGCTGGAATTGCTAGTCTCATCTTTTTTCATCATAAACCAAAGAAATTGATACTACTTTTTCATATTTTGTGACAACTTTTGGTTCATTAAAACTTACCAAGTGAATAATTTTAATTTTGTTTATTGGGATCCATGTAGTTGCCATTCTTTACTTTTTAATTTTGGGGAATAAGATACTTCAGGGAGATGCTTGATTTAAGACTACTAATACATTTACATGTACTAATACAGACTGAATTTGCCTAACAATTTTTGTTTGGTTATCACAATAGCTAGTTTGCAGTAGTAGCTTGTTTAGTTGTTCTTATTGTGTGTAATAAGGTAAATTAAATGGAAAACTAACTGTTTTTGATTATTGTTTATTTGGCATTCACATTGTTATTTTCTACTTTTTAATTTAATGGCAAATATATATACTGTATATGTATAATATATAAAATGTAAATTTTTGTACAAAAACTACGAAGTGTGCCCTCTAGTTCAACCACCTGTGAAATAAGTGCAGCTGTTCACTTGACTAGAATAAAATGCACAATCAATTTTGTGTTGATACAAGTAAACTATAGTTCTTTATTTTCAAAGTAACTTCATTATTAAATTAATTTATACCCAGTGCTGTTGTTCAGCTCTATTTCATTATGAATTTTGCAACACAGTTATGTGATACAGTTGTACTGTTTATAAGAGCGCAGCGCTTGCATTAGGTTAGAAAATTTGTGAGTCCCAAGGACGCAATGTTTTTAAAAAAGTGTGTCCTTTGAAAAAAAAGTGTGTCCCTTATTTTTCAGTTTTTGATTTCTTGCCGTGAATTTAAAACGGAAGTAAATGTTAAGTATACGGACTGAATAAATGCATGTTTGTTCATTCGACAATGAATACATTTTATTTCATGAATAACCTAATATTTGTTTCTGAATAGGAAAAACTGTTGCGTGTCATGGTTTCAAATCTAAAAATAAACAAAGTCGAAAAAATTTGAGAGAATCATGATTATTTGTAAATATTCAACATGTTGAGCCTTATTTACGATTCAAATAAAGGTGAGAGATCATAATTATTTGTTTTTGTTAGGTATCGTTGTAAACACATTGTAGTATTGACCGCAGGGGTTTCAATAAATATTTTTTCAACAGGCCTTTTGGCAATTTCAACAGGCTGAATTTTTTTCGACCATTTTTTTCGACCATTCATTATTAATTTCAATGAAATATAAAGATCAACATTCAATAGTTTGATATGCATTTTTAACTTGTAATATTTTATTTGTTTTCAAATGTTGCCCTTTGTGCTTCCTTACTATGATGTGAGATAATGCCAAGAGGATCAATTGTATTGATTATAGTGTTTGTTTTATCTATTGAAAGTTGGCAGGACAGTGATAAAGGTTTTTTGCTACTGACCCATTAGTCTCAAAGCAATGATGTTTTGGTTTTGAGAGTAGGTCAATAAAAATGGTGGCCGGATTATTGTAAGATAATTATCTCAGTGTTTCTGTAAAACACTGCTGATTATCTGCCTATTATACTTAGATTTTGCCTTCACAAGGTAGGCCAATTTATATTCTTTCATTTGATATGTCAAACTTAATTGATTTGTCTCATGTGTCAGCAAAATCTCTCATTTGGACCGGCAATTTTTTCTCAATATTTGAACCGGCGTAACTGGGGTTTGAAGCGATTTTGACCTAAAAAAAATTTGCGTCCAAAAAACGGAAATATTTTCAATTTTTGCGTCCTCCAAATTATTTTTGAGTCCTTAACATGTACGGGACGCCGTTAATGCAAGCCCTGGAGCTAAGTTATAACTGATACTTAAGTATTAGGAGGAGGATCTTGCTTTTTCAGGTTGAGCATGCCAGGAGTGATCAAGTGAAAATTAATAGACAAGTTATCAAGTGAAAGTTAATACCTTACATTTCCTTTTTAGACAAGTGCTACAAATGCCATCGTGTTGGTCACTTTGCTAGAGACTGTCTAGAAGAACAGGACCGCTGTTATAAATGTAACGAGAAAGGGCACATAGCTAAGGAATGTACCAAGGAGGTCCTTCCTGGTATGGCTATTCTTTTTAATGCAAAACATGACACACTACTTGCATGCCAACAAGGGGTTTCAATAGATTTCAGATTAGAGGTTCTCACGTGCTGGAATGAGTAATTTGAAATAAATTTATAACGACCACATCCTTAAAATGCTGAAAGTTTAAGGCATTGCAGATAAAAAAGGCCTCTTGCTATTGAAACCCCTGTCTGTTAAAGAGGCAGTGTTTATTAGGAGCATATTTACAGTACTCATTGATATTTTTGCATCCATCCACAGGGCGACCCCTAAAAACAGAGCCCTCTAAAAATGAAATAATTTCTTGAGTTCATTTTTTTCAATATACTGAAACTACAATCTATAAGAACAACAATCTGAGACTAAATTATTAACGTAACATTCAATATTCTTCTTGTTATGGTCATATAAAAATTGTACCCACTTTTTAAAAGAAAAGAAAAAGTAAGATTTTGGTTTGTTTAAACCCATCACCATTCTTTTAGCTTCTTAACAAGAATGAGATCATTAATGAGGAAGTGTCCAAGTAACCTTTAAGCCTTCTTAACCTTTAGCAGACCACCGGCGACCGCGTCCGCCCATTCAAAATTACCGCCAGAATCCACCGGCGGATCCGGACAACACAAATCTAACTTTTGAAAACTCTACTTTTTCCCGCCGTTCTTATGATCTAATTAGATTGCCCGATTTATTCAGTCCTTAGTAGGTGACTTCCTGTTGACCTAGAAATGGCGATGTTTCGAAAAATATTTCTCAATTTAACAATTTAAACAGTGTTTAAGTCGTTTTTAGTGAACAAATCGTACAAAATGGTGGGCAAATACGATCACAACGAAAATGTGGAGGAAATGGATTGCGATTTCGAGCTCTTTATGCTCTTGGAAGCCGATAATGGTCATCGAAAATAGAAACTAGAATATTTTCTGAACTGAAAAGAAGAACATTTGATCGCTGCAAATTCAGTTTTGGATTCTGACCAGACGTTGAATCTCCCCACGGGCGAAACGGCGGATTCCGGAGGAGTATTCATGGTATATTTATGCCCAGTCGTGTTTATGTACGAAAAAAATTCATGAGAACATTTTTCTCATGAGCCAGGCTAGTGTATCTTCCCTTTGTGAAAATTCTATCCAGATTCATTCAGTAGTTATTGAGATATTAATTATTTAGTCCAGGCACAGGGTCTGACCTTAACTTTTTTTACCAGTAGCAAGGATTTGCTACCTGCTACCAAAACAAGGAGCAAATTCCCATATTCAGGTAGCAACAAAAATGCTCCAAGAAAATATTATCAGGTAGCAAATTGCTCCTCAAATTGCACTGAATGAAACTACCATTTTTTTACGTTCAAGAGTCATCTGAGAATAATTTGTGGTTTTTCAGACCAAAATCCGCATGTTTTCATTGAAAATAGGAGAATGAATCATCTAATCCTAATGAAGGTAGTATAATCAATTGGGGGGGGGGGGGGGGGGGGGGGGGGGGGGCGGAAACAAATTATAGCGTATATGCCCCCCCCCCAG